CTTTATATGCTACTTCTTCATATCTTCTCTATGGTCACGTAGGTAAAGCCACATGGACATACATGACATAGTCTTACTGTTGTCACTTGCTCAAGCAGGAGGATGCTTGATGCCATTTTGATAGCTGAGATGTTGGATGAATTTCTCTCAGATTGGAGGCTGTCCTTCTCAGCTTGAAGACTCTCTCACTCAGCCTGGAGATTCTGTTTCTCAACAGGCTGGGAGGAAAACAGTTTGATCAGTCCCTCCAATAGGCTGTTTTGGGAATTCTGATCCATCAGATGTATCTGATACCATCCATCAGCATTAAGCACGGTAGACAGTTCATCTATTATATCTTCTTGATTGCTCTCCATTCTGTCCAGTTTCTCAGATACTTTTGTAATGGCTGAAACATAAGCTCGTAGAGTTGTTAAATGCAACTCAAAGTCTTGAAGTTTATTAATCAAAGTTCATTTGTAAGGTTGTCTTTCCCCTCTGCTATACATTGCTGCAAATGCACTGGCATACTTTTCTGGTGCAGTCTTTGTGAATATATGCCACATATTTGGGGTACACCTGACTGTCTCAGGATCACGCTCTTGGTTTGGCTTGTCAGGAATGAAAATGGGGCTATGTAACATTTCCACCACAGCATATTCTTTCAAATAACGGACGCCTTTTCCCATATCAGTCCATTTCTTTTTCACAGGCATCAGATCATCTTTGAAGGGGTATTTTTCTTTTATGGCTAGCAGCATTCACTCCTAGAGAGTGAAGGACCCACTCTGTCAGTGGCAGATGTCAATGTCCCTAGCAATGCCATTTAGTTGGTGAACTTCTCTACTATCTAGTGACACACTGTTGGCCCCATTTTCCCACCACTGAAGTAACCAGGCAAGAACAGGTTCATTTGGGTGGTGTGAAAAGTCTTTTCTCAGACCTCAAATTTCATTCATTTTCAGAGATCGATCACTAATGGTAACAATGTCTTGCTCACCTCCTACTCCTTCAGGGCTTCTTGTTGTCACCCTCCTGGGTGTTGGTGACAGCAGTCTTATTGAGGGCCCCTCCCCTGGACTCGGGGGCACTCACTTCCCCTGGATCTCGGAGCCACTCCTCTGGACCTCTTTCCTCCTCTTCTCCTGCAGTGTCTGCTTCCTCTACTTTCCCCTCTTCCTTTTTCTTCTGTTCTAAATGAGTCAAGATTCATTTCATTCTCTGTCCTCTTACAGGGGCAACTGACATTGATTCTGGTGCCTCCTGTAGTCAATCAGGTTGGTCAGTTCTGATGCTCTCACTCTCCAGCTCAGCTCGGAGTCTGTCTCATTCCATTATGAGGGTATTTAGTTCAGATTCAAGCATGACTCAATGAGACTGAGTTCTGTTTAGTTCAATTTGGAGACTGAATTTTGCATGCTGGAAAGCATCTCACTCAGTTCGGAGTACATCCCATTTGGACTTGAGGATGTCCCTCTCGGACCAGAGGGCGTCTTGCTTGGACTGGAGGGTGTCTTGTTGAAACTGAAGGTTGTTGAGTTTGGATTGAAGGGAGTCTCAGTTCAGAGGGTATCTCTCTCGGATTGGATGGTGTCCTACTTGGACTGGAAGGCGTCTTGCTCACACCACAGCATGTCTTGCTCAGACTGGAGGTCTTTTCTCTCAGATCGGAGACTGTCCTTCTCAGCTTGGAGACTCTCTTGCTCAGCCTGGAGATTCTGTTTCTCAACAAGAAGACTCCTTTTCTGAACATGGAGAATCTCCAATCAGCTCTGAAACATTCTCTTTCAGCACAGAGACACTCTCAATTTCAGAAACTCTCTCTCTCTCTGGGATAGTATTTAATAAGGCCCAATAAGCATTATCCAGGCCCCAAATCATTTGTGCCTCCTCAGATTTGCCTGAGCCATAACATTCCTGTCTCAAATATCTGTTTTGGCTCTCTGGGTTTTTCAGGTGTTCAGGAGTAAAGTTCCACAACACTGAAGATGTCTGTTTCTCTAAAGTCTCTCCCAAACCTCTCCACACTCCCTGCCATTCAGTATTCTCTGGTTTTGGGGAAGGCTTCTGCAAAAAATGATGAATACGAATACTGAGTGAAATGATGAGTAGTACATTCAGGGAGATTAGCAACATGATCAGATGAGCATTCAAAAAATGCATAAAGGGTTCAAGGAAGAGACTGGGAGCCTATTTAAAAACCACAAATTCTGTAGAATTAGCAGCTCCCTCTGGAGTTGTATGCCACATTGTATGCAGATACCAGGTAGTTATTTTCATCAATGTTTTCAATCGATGATATATACCTATAGCTCCATAGAGCAAAGTGGCAAACTTAATTAAGGCCCAACATGTTTTGAGCACTACAAAAGAAAAAAACAATGGCATGCAGTCCCTTGAAAAGCAGTTTTACAAGAGAAAGCACTTTTTTTTTCTCTTTACAGAAGCAAGATAGCAGTGCTCAAAGTTTACAAATATCCCAAAATACTGGCAGTCCTCCTGGACTTTCAAGGTCAAGTTTTTCAGCACAGAAACTTGAAGTGCTGATAAAGTTCCCTAACAAACTCTCCAGGAGCAGAGAGAGATTCATTCTAAAAGCTAAAAAGCAGCTCTTGTGGGCATTCTCCACCAAGAATGTCGATGGTTTACGTTCTGGTTCAGCCCAGTTCCATGACTAGCAGGGTAGAGGGATCTGTAGATCCATGACTACGGAAAAAGGAAACGGGACCCCAAATAATTAAAAACAGTGGCAACAATCTGAGGAGAAACAAACTAATTTTCTAAATATGGTATCGGAATGCAAGGTAACAAACTGTAATACAATATAATTAAAATAAATCTACTAGGGTAGAGCAAGTCTGAGACTGCCTCATGAGACTGAATGCATACAAGTCTATGGGATTGGATGACATGCATCCCAGGGTTCTGAAGGAGCTGGCTGAGGTGGTTGCTGAACTGCTCTCCATGATAACTGAAAAGTTGTGGCTGTCAGGAGAGGTCCCAGGTGACTGGAAAAAGGGTCATGTCATTCCTGTTTATAAAAAAGGGAGCAAGGAGAACCCAAGGAACTACGGGCTGGTGAGTCTCACCTCTGTGCCTGGGAAGATCGTGGAACAGATCCTCCAGGATGACATGATTGCACTCTACAACTTCCTGAAGGGAGGTTGTGGTGAAGAGGGGTTTGGCCTCTTCTCCCAGGCAACGAACAGGACCCGGGGAAATGGCTGCAAGTTGTACCAGAGGTTTAGGTTAGACTTAAGGAAGAACTTCTTCTCTCAGAGAGTGGTCAGGCACTGGAATGGCCTTCCAAGGGAGGTGGTGGAGTGGCCGTCCCTGGCAGTGTTCAAGAGGCATCTGGATGAGGAGCTGCGAGATATGGTTTAGTGCTTGTGGTAGCAGTGGCAGTGTGAAGACGGTTGGACTAGATGATCTTATAGGTCATTTCCAACCTTGTGATTCTATGATTCTATGATATGATTCTATGAGTGTTCACATGAGGAGTGAGTGTGAGATGCCAGCACAGCTTCACCAAGGGAAGGTAATGCCTAACCAATCTGGTGGTCTTCTATGATGGAGTGATGGTGGATAAAGTGAAGGTAATCAATGTCGTTTACCTGGACTTCAGCAAGGCCTCTGACATGGTCCCCCACCACATCTTTATCTCCAAATTGGAGGGATGTGGATTTGACGGGTGGACCATTCGGTGGATATGGTATTGGTTGAAAGGCTGCAGACACAGGGTGGTGATCAATGGCTCTCCAGGCAGAGGTCGGTAACGAGCAGTGTCCCCCAGGGGTCTCTCTTGGGACTGGTGCTCTTTAACATCTTTATCAAGGACAGTGATGATATTGTGGAAGACAGTGTCAAATACATAACAAGAGCACCACAAACTCAGAGAAATCACAGCTATGGTCATATTGTGATTTTTGAAGGTAGCAATAAAATCATTCTGTCTTATCTTATTCCTTGCGGTTAGTGGAAAAGCACACTGGAAGATCACACTGGTGTTTGTGCATCTCTGATGACAGGCTGCACAGGCAGCGCTTGTTCCATTACACACCCAGCTGCAAAAGCTTTGCCACAGCCACGTTTCTTCAGAGAGACCAGCACCAAGCTGTAGTCCACTGCGTGCAGGCCGCTCCAATTTCTTGTCAGAACACTTACAAGGGTTGGGATTCACACACTAAGCGACTGTGCACACTAAGTTCTCAGGTACAGTTATAATAACAGGCAAACTTTATTGTTTTCCATGCACAGAGCTGGTTGAAGGATGCCCCACTCTCTCGCGAAGGCACAGGCACACCAGCTCTCCAGATCTACTGTGTTGTTGGTGTCCCGTTATGCCTCTTATGCGCTGTTTAGGCCACAGCCGTCAGAGCATCAGTCAGTGCAAAGCTCGATAAGAACCGCCACAGCAAGGACGCTGTCCCGCCCTCTCGGCTGCAATCACCGCCGTGGCACGAGGACGGACAGCACCGCCCACGCATCACCCCGCCGCCCACCCCGCCCCGCGCCCCCTCGGCCCCTGAGCCCCGCCCCCGCTCGGGGGCCGCTTCGAAGAAACGCCCATTCCGCTCTGCCCCCTCTCTGATTCGTCAGAACGCCAGGGGCAGAACGCAACATGATTGGCCAGCGGGACCGTCACTCAGCGGCACGACGGCAGGCTCGCGTCGGCTGGGCTCGGTTGCGGCTTGACGCCGCCGTTGCGGATGTGTACGAGTGCGCGCGAGTACGCGCTCGCGGGAGGGGGGCGGGGCGGTGGGGGGCCCGGCCGTTAGGCGGTCGGCGAGCGGCGCATGCCGGCTGGGGCCGGCTCCCCGCCCCGCCGCGGCCCGTCACGTGACGGGATTCAGTGGTTACAGCCGAAGCGGGCGCCTTCTCGCCGCCGCCGCTCCTCGCGCGCCGCCCGGCGGCGGCCGTTTCGCTTTCATTTCCCTGAGGCCGAGCGGCTGCGGCTGCGGCGGCGGCGCGGAGCGGCCTGCAGTGCCGCCCCCATCCCCCCGCCCCGCCCCGCCCCGCGCGGCCCCACCCCCGCGGGCTCGCGGTGAACTGAGATTCCCCTTCCCCTCCCCCGCCCGGCACACGCACACCGCACACACACACACCTTTGCCTCCTCTTCCTCCGGCTCTGGGAGAGAGAGAAAGAGGAAAGCAGAGGACGAGGCGCTGAGCCTGGGCCTCCCGCACCGCGCCGCCGCGCACAACATGGAGGAGCTGGTGGTGGAGGTGCGCGGCTCCAACGGGGCCTTTTACAAGGTACCGCGCGCTCGAGCCGGGCCTCGGGGGAGGGAGCGGGGCCTGGGACGGGAGGAGGAGGAGGACGCGACGGCGGCGGCGGCTCCTCCCCGCGTGGAGGGAGAGCGGGGCCCCGGGGCGGGAGGGAGGAGTGCAGGCCGCGGCCGGGCCGTCGCCGTGCCCGGGAGGTGCGGGCCCGGAGCCGGGAGCTGTGCGGGCGGCGGAGGGAGGAGAGGCCCCGGCCGAGGAGGAGGCCTCGGGCCTAAGCCTATTGTGGGAAGGGGAGGCCCCGGGGCCGCTGGGGCGGGGGAGGAGGGCCGGGGCCTTGGTCTGTCGGCGCCGGAGCGAGGATCGGGGCCGGGGATGGGGCGTTAATTATTAAATCCTTGGCTTTTGTCGCTGCTTAAGGAAAGTCTTTCTCGCTGTCCAGGTTCCCGGCGGAGCTGCACGGCGTTTAAGGCGGGGGAGGAGAGGGGTGTTTGTTCCATACACGTTCGCGATGAGAGCTGTTGTCAATTATTTTTCTTAATACCACGGCTGGGGACGTTGCACATTAACATTAAAGAGAGTGTTGCTTGACCAAAAATGTTTGCTGAGCTGCTAAATGCATCTTATCATCAATTGTACCTTTTCCTGAAACTACTGAACAGCGTTCCGTGTTCATTTCCAAGTCTGTGTGCTGAATAAAGCAATCATTGATTCTTCAATACACGAATTGAGTCTTAATATTTCTGTTAATACTGCGTAGTATTGGCGTGGCTTTGCTTGTGTTAGGATGCATTAATTAGTGCATTATTAGGGTGCAAGGTGTGGTTCTGCCCTGTTCACTGAAAACCCAAGTTTGAGCACAGTGAATTTGGGCCTACTATCATTGTCACGTACACCTGTTACAAACATACCAGGAGCACTCCTCCGTCGTCTTCTGCAAGTTTACTGTTATTTAAATGTTGTAGTATTTTAAAATTTGGACTTGTTATTGTGCAGCATCAAATATTTATGTTAGTAAGGAAGGAGGAGGTAGAATTTCACGCTGTGATGTTAATGTGGTAGGGCAGGCTGGTGGCTGAATGATACAGGTCCAACACACTTGACTTGAGTTTTTTCCACGGAGACAATTTAAAAACTTATTTCTAAAGTACATTTGTTCATCCTCATTCTGGAGAAGTTTAAAATAAAGAAAAAAGGAAAGTACGGAAGAAGTCTGAAAGCTTGGTACACAGATGTATGCTGTGGGTTTTCGATGTTGAAGTCAAAGTCCTGGATCTGCACATCACTTCCTGTAATTAAGTTATTTAGTACTTTGAAAAATCAGCTTTAAGGTTTTTAAAGGTACAGTATTTGGACAGGAAAAAAACACACGCATAAATATATTACTTAAGAGACAAGCTCTAATGAGGCTTTCATCAAATTATATAACAATATTTATACAGTACTGCAAAATAAATGATACTGAAAATGATATTGTACATTCTTTAGTAACCAGTGTTGTTAAAGAAACCAGGGAGAATATAAAACTTCTGTAAACTTTTTTTTAAGTCACATGTAGTTCTAATGTCATTATGTTCTTTTTCCCTTTCCTCCAAAACGAATTGCACGCTTCTGATTGTTGTTAAGGTAATAATTACAGATAGGCATATACTCACAGCAATTTATTCCTTACGTATAGTTCAGCGTATCTAAGTTATGACACGAGCGTTGCCTCCAAGCTGTGTGTTGTGTTTGCTTTTTAACTTTTAGAAATTCAAATAGAGGAATCTTACTTTTTTTTCCCTCCCCTCCTTAGTCTCTAAGGATTGGTTGGGAGGGATTGGTTGAATTATCTAAGGGAACTTAAATGGGACATGTAGGTTTATTACACTTCATGTGTATTGCCTGTCTAGATGGAGCATTACACTTAAGATAAATGGAGCAACAGATTAATTTTTTTTTTAGTTTTTTTTTTAAAGCAATCTCACACAGTACTAATCAATGTAGATCAGCAATTTTCCTCCAGCCTAAATTGCTGGAGTTTTAGTTACAGATCTTTCATGTATCATGATGATGAGTTCATGCTTCTATTAAGTAATTTATCTGAATGCTTCCTTTCTTCTGAGTTTTATACTTGTCTTGCAGATCTCGGATTTGATTATAAAATGAATTGATTAATCCAAGATAACAAGAAGTGTGGTGATGTTAAGTGTGGACATAATTACAAGACTTTTTGTTGTTGTTGTTGTTGTTTAAAAAGTTTCCTTAGAAATGTTTTACAACAATAATGCAAAACATATCTAAAGCAAAATTTTTGAATTCCATTTCAGGTTTACTGATACTTAGTGGTAGTTTCTTTGGCTTGAAATCATTCTTATCTTCATTATTATATCTTATCATTCTTATCTTCATTATTATATGCAAATGTTTTGGCAAACAAAACCTGCTGCTATGAGAATATAGAAGGAAGGAACATGAGGCTGCTAGAGTCGTGAACAGGTGGAGTGGTACAAGTGAGTACCTCATTTCCCCTTGAGGCTTTCATAGACTCTCTAGAGACCATATGAATTCAAGTCCATAAACATGTTCTGATTTTGAGTGTTCCCAGCAACATCTTGATCTTGAAAGTACGAAACTGGTGCCTAATTGTCACCTAGACTCTACTGAGAGTGATAAACTAGGCTTTTCTCTGCTTATGTTGCCTATGGGACTTGATCCAGAATGCATGCTGAGATGCATCTTAAGGGCCTGTGTTCCACATATAACACAGAAGATGATTTTGGTACTTCAGTAGGTGGAGTATGCATTCAGAGTGGGGAAAATTTTAATTCAGGTACATTGTTCCACAAGAGTTCTTGAATGTATCATTTTGATAACTGGATATTCTTTCATGGAGTAATGATTTAATTATGTTAAGAATGCTTCACAGTTCCATGAACTTTTTCTCCTTTCCCATATGAATTATTCCATGGAAAGTACAGTGTAGTCAAAAAGCATGATTTAGGCTTAATCACTAATTTAGTGCCTAAAAATGCTTTGTCATGTCTTAATATATTGCTTGGCCCATAATCCCTGTCAATAAAAGATTAAATACTCTTTTTTTTTCTTTTTTTTTTTCTTTTTTTTTTTTTTTTTACTTTTAAGGCTATTCCAGCAGCCAGGGCTGTGTATCTTAAGGGGAAGGAACTGCCTCTTAGCAGCCCTCAGCTAAGTAGCTGAATTGTGGAGGTGCGTGCTGTTAGGTACATCATTTAACATTGTGTTTGTTCACGTAGGTACAGTAATCAAAGTTCTCACGTTCTTATTTTCAGACAGTCTGTTATCCAATCTTTCCAGTGCTAGCTCTAGATATAATTTGTTTTGAAAAGGGAATGTGGTGGATTTCTTTCTAGGATGGAATTTTTTTATTTTTTTTTCCTTTCCCCAGTTTGGGAGTAATTATCGCTTGTAATCTGCTGGAGATAGGAAGCATCCTGTTGGAGGCAGCATACCCCTAGCAAGCATCATCGTTCTCTTTGTTCATTCACAGTCCTTCAGAGGATGATAGCCTGTACTATTTTTTCTGATTCAGTTTTCATTTCTGTTACTGTTCTTCTTTTCCTGGCCTACCTTTTTGTATGGTATGCCTTTTCTCAGATTTGACTTGCTGTTCCTTATGACTCTTTCCTTGCAACAGGAATAAAACGTTACAGAGCTGTTAGGCAGATGTAGACACTGGTTTGTATAAATGCAACAGTCATTATTTTGCCTGTTCTCACTTAGATTTATTGTCCTTCATTATTAAAATGGTTCTATCTGATTTAAGGGTTAGGGAGGACAACAACTGCAAAGACACTTAATGACAGCTAGAGCCTGTGCTATTCCTTTGAAGTGTCCGTTATGCCATTTAGCACATAAATAAATATATAGGTGTCTCCAGTAATTCTTACTTTCTGTTTAGTCATTCATAAAACTTAGACCATATCTTTATTATTCAGCTCTTCCTAGAATGTCAGTGTTCATATGTGTGAGAAAGATACTGTCGCTGTTTGATTGTAATCTTTTTTTGTTTATGTCTGAAGCATGGAGAAAAATACTAATTGTTAATGTGACTGAAAGTCAAATCTGGTGTAGGAAATGTGCCACACTTCGATTTTTTCATCTCAGGGAAGAAGAAGCAGTCCTAGCTTCTGTAATACTTCTATTTACAGAATTAAAAGCACAACTTCCAGTGATTTGAATTTCTTCTTATGTACTCTAATTTGATGTCATTGCAATTGTGATATCGTAGCTACTGTAGTCACAGTGTCTCATTTCCTTATTTTAGTTCCATCTAGTTTCACTGTTTTTAGTGCTTCTCGTGTGTGTTCATATTTATCGTAGCCAGTGTTTTGTCTCTTTTGAGTGTGCAATTCAAGTCCACATATATGCACCTTTAGGTTTGAATTTCCATTTTTACTTAATACAGGTCTGTTTAACTTCTTATACCTGTGGAGAATAGACATAATGCTGTAATATAGGCTATAAAAACTGATCTGATCAAGGTATCAGATTTTTTTCGATGTCGCAAGATTGGAAAAAGGGAAGCCAGCTTTCTCTGGTTAGGTAGAATTAGGGAATTGTATGTTTAGGCTATTAATATATTTTGTCTGATTGTTTTCTAAGCATAAAGCTCATTACAGAAGTAGACTGGGGTGTTGTATATGCTGTATTTTTGGATTGGGATATTTTGCTAGGAATTTTATGTTTGTAAGATCAGCAAGGCTAGAAATTAAAGGGCAAATAAGTAACATCAGTATTTTTGGCCAGGCTGGTGGAAAAAGCAGATATTCTATCTGCTCCTGTGGCTGACTCCTCTGAAGTCAGTGAGACATCTGTACCAATGCTACTTATTCACGGTCAAAAGTTGTTGATTCAGGCATGTTCAGATTTCTGGGTTAAGGCCAAAGCGATGTTGAAGATCTCCTTAAGAGGAGCCTTCATAGTAGCTGGAAAGTGAGAAAACACTATTATAACTAACTTGTAAACCTTTGCACGTTTTTGAGATCATCTTCGGCCTAATGAAGCTCACCCTTCTTTTATTGTGTGACAGACAGTAACTGACAAAAACTCTGCAACTGCTGTACTAACTCTTCAATCTTTAAATTAGGACGTGAAGTTAAATTGAAAACAATGATTGCCCGTAGTTAAGTATTCTTTTAATTAGCTATTTGCTTTACATTTTTTAGATTTTATAAGTGCTAGATTAGTCTTCAGCTTGATAACTTGCATTTGTGTCACTATCTAGTTTGTTTATTGATGGTAGATTGCAGAATGAGTACCACTAGTTGCTTATGTTGCTGTAATCAGGAGCTTCTGCTCAGCATGATTTGGATGTTAGGAGCTGTCAGGCCTGAATATGAGAATGTTTTTTAACAACTGCGCTCATGTATTTCTGTCATAACCCATACTCTTCAACAGAATGATAATTGGAGCATCTTCTGGTGTTTTAATGACTAGAGAGGGGATGACTTCTCCAAAAGGATCGTTCATCTTTCTTTAGCAGAAACAATTTTTGCTGTTTTGTGAACGTGATAATCAAGTATTAACAAATTATTTCTCAGAACATTGTATTGTGTTACTCTTAACTGTTTTCTTCAAGGCTATTCTTGTTCTTGGTAGTGTTCCTGTTGGATTTCCTTTATAAAATTCTTCTACTTTTTGTGTACTCGATGTAACTAATTATAAGTCCTATCTTTTCCATTCTGTGGTGTGAAGGAGTCGTAGCAAATGCTCACTAGTAATTGCAGTGTTATTTCAGGTAGTAAAGGCATCAATTTCTGTTCCATCTATAAGAATAGGGGATTCAGAGCTACGCATGGCAAACATCTTGGACAAAATGTGGAAAGAATCTTTGGTGATATGTATAGTGATGCCAATCAAATCAGGACTAACATAGTATCTGTGAAATGCATGTTTTTCTGGAGTTTTCTTGCAGAAGAGACAGCAGTAAACTCTTGCAGAAGAGACAGTACATAAACATTCATCTGGGAATTCTTTTGCCTTTTTATATGAATAGTTTCATGTTCTACTGTCAACATGATGCAGAGATACAGTTCTAGATCTTCTCTTTTATATTATTAAAACATAACCTATGTTTCCCACTCCCTTGGAAAGAATATCTTGGAATTTCAAAATAAGTATCTAAATACTATTAGAGCCTGAGAGCATCCTTTGGGTGCTAACAATAAAAACTTTTCAGAATAAAAACTTTTCAGAATAAAAACTTTTCAGAATAAAAACTTTTCAGAATAAAAACTTTTCAGAATAAAAACTTTATTCTTATGGTATTGTGAGAGACGAGCAAGATGTAAAACAGTCTTTTGCTCTTGTCACTTTGCTTTGACTTCTGTTAGTGATGTTATTGTTTTCAGATTATTAACTAGCATTCTACTTCTTTATTGTAGTGAATGTCTCTAATGGTAGTTGTGAACATGTACTGCTTACTTATAATTATAGTCAGTTATTGGAGCTCCATGTTGGTCATCAGGTACTGCTTTTGTTTGATTCTGTGAGATGCTGCTGCGATTTAGCACATGCTTGAGAATACTTCATGAAAGAAGTGCTGCTGGAATTTTTTTTAACCTCTTAAGTGCCATACCTAACAGTCTTACAGTCTTAAAATGTGTGTTATTCTTTTCTTAGAAACTTGATAAGTGGAGAGAAAGAAATGTGCTACAGTTCATTAATTACAATTTACAAGAAAGTTGCTGCTAAGTTACTTTCAATTTACTGAGAATTTGTTCAACTACTGGGATGCACCTCCTTTGATAGATTAACTTCTGTATTTCTCTTGTTGTTGGACTTTCATCCACCTCTACCTTGCAAGGGCATGAAAAGCGTGGACAAATGCTACTGAAATACTCAGCATGTTGCTAATGCCTATTTCAGTAATTTTTAAAGGTATTTTTTAAAGGAAACAAACAATGCAATATTTGCAACTGTCATTGCTATGCGCCCTCTTTTTGAGGCTATGAAAAATATCTTCCCTAGTGAATCCCAAAGTTTAAGTAGAATATCATCTTAGTGTTTGGTGGATGGGGAAGTTTGAGCATAAGGCTGAGAAATGATCGAGTCATTAGCACAGCTGCTATTCATTGCCCAGAAGAAAACAAGGAAGGCTGCAGGGCATTTTGCTTAAATTTGTGTGCTAAGGATGCTGACTGTGAGTGAAAATTGTACTAGAATGGATATGTGTGATTTCTGGTGGATCAGTATTCAGGCTTACGTTGTGGTGAAAGAGGTGGGATTTTTTTTTAAGAGTAGTTGTGTTTAATTTCTGTAGTTTTCTTGTCAGAATGTACAAAGTGATAGCTATAACTCAGGTTTAATGTATTGCATTTCTCATCTCATAATTCAAAATGATTTTGTCATTTGTTAGTGACCTCTTCCGTTATTTCTGAAAAGTAGAAAGGCTGTGCATATTACTCGGGCATTCTGTCTGTCTGCACGTTGACAATCATAAATTCAGGAGGTTATCAGCTTTCAGTATGCGTTTTATATTAGTCTACTGGAAAATGCAAAAGATTGACTCAAGAACATATTTACATTCTGAATAATATTAATTTCTGTGGAAGGAAAGCGTTGTTTTAGGCTTGCTCTTTAAAAGTATCTGTAGGCATGCTGTAATTGTACCTTTATTTTCTTCACAGGCATTTGTAAAGGATGTACATGAAGATTCGATAACAGTTGCATTTGAAAACAAGTAAGTATATTGCTGTTATATCTACAAATACAGAGTTAAGAGTTTCTATCTTGAATTTGATGAACCTAAATAGAACTTATGATGATGGAGAGTGGTATCCTTAAGATAGTGTATGCTTCTGCTGGTGTGTTGGGAATTAAGAGATTAACTACTGTCTACATGTTGTCTGTGCTTTCAATTGTTTAAATATTTTAAATAATGAAACTGGGAAAAAGTGTATGTTCTAGAAAATATATTATTGGACTTAGGTAATAGCAACCAGTTCTAAGGAGGTGGTGATACCATGACTGCTTCTATCTCATGAGAATATTTTATTATAGATTTTCCCAATTGCATTATTACAAAATTTGTTTTATAGATGGTGATGAATGCCAGTTTCCCATGCTTAAATTTTTTACCATCATTTAGTGGCAGAGCAAGTTAGCCTTCTGTTACATTGTTTAGGTCAGGTTTTGTTTCCTTCAGGAAGTAAAACCAAGATGGGGTGTGTGTGTGTATAATTTTATCTGGTGTATCTTTGTTATGGAGTCATGTATTTTTAGAAATTGTTTTACAGTTACTTTTGAAAAAAAAATCTTTTCTTGTAATGTTAATTATATTAAATCTTAAAGAATCTTAAAATTCAACCTGAATTCAGGCATAATCTGGATTGCTTCCTTGTAAGGTATAGATGAAAGAAGAAGACTGATTTTTGAAGTAGAAGTTCAAAAGTGTTAAGAAATTTTTAACCTGCATTTTGATGTTGGGGATAAAACCTGTAGCTATGAATTGTAAAAACAACTGGAAGATTTCAAAACAGTACAGATAGGAGCAAGATTTTGATATATGTGCACAAAAGCTCTGCAAAGCTGTGAAAACTTGAAATGAATGAATTTTCAACGCAGTTCTGATTTCTTTATTTCTTAAAAAGAAAGTGAAAGTGTTTAGGTCATTCACTGTATTTTTGTTTGTAGCTGGCAACCGGAGAGACAAATACCATTCCACGATGTGAGGTTTCCACCACCTGCAGGCTATAATAAAGACATAAATGAAAGTGATGAAGTGGAGGTATGTATACACCATTAACAAAGTTTGTTTTTGAGAAGTGAGAGAATTTGGGATGAGAATGTCAGCCAAGCCAGTGGAAGGCTTGTCTCTGTATTATATGTTGTAACTCTTTTGATTCCAAACACTACATAGAAAATGATGTCAAACATGCCATCAAAAGGTATTTTGGACAGTATGGCAATATCATTATGTGCACACTGATTTACAAATGGGATCAGATTTTCTTTGATTATGGATCCTTTCTTTGTCAGAACTCAGTGATTTGGAAATATATGCTATGTTAGCTTGGACAATAGTTCTTTAACTACATTTAGACTTTATAATAACTTTTATCTACATAGGCATTTAATAATGTCATTTGTTAGCAAAACTTAAAACTGAATGAAAAATGAAAATTTTAGTATGTATTAAACCTACATATTAAACGTTTAATATGTAGGTTGGTCCAAAGGTGTTGCCTTCTATTTACTTCCATGGAAACTACAACAGTTATAAAGAGCACAATAACAGAATCAGAATTGTAGGGGGTGGAAGGGATCTCTAGAGATTATCAAGTCCAAATCCTCCTGCCAAAGCAGGCTCCCCAGACCAGGTTTCACAGGTGGGCATCCAGGGGGGTCTTGAATGTCCCCAGAGAAGGAGACTCCATAACCACTCTGTTCCAGCGCTCCATCACCCTTACTGTGAAGAAGTTCTTATGCACGTTTGTGCAGAACTTTGTGTACTTCAGATTGTGACCATTTCCCCTTGTTTGTGCACCACTTAGAAAAGTCTGGCCTCGTCCCTTTGCCTCCTGCACCTTAGATATTTATTTAATGATCAGATCCTCTCTGAGTATTCTTTTCTCAAGGCTGGACAGACCCAAGTTGCTCAGCCTTACCTCATAAGAGAGGTTCTCCAGACCCTTTATCATCTTTTTGGCCCTCTGCTGGACACTATTTGACAGAGCAAATTCTCAGCTGTGAAACACAATTTTTCAACCTAGTCAGCCACCATTAGCATTTTTGCCAGCTATGAACAAAGGCTGAGCTCATAAAAATCTGCACGAGCAAATGTCACCTTATAAATGTCAATGGGTGATGTTTTTTCTGCATGGAGGAGTTCATTTCCATACCTTTGCTTCATACGCACTTCTCTGTCAGGCACCATTCTGTCAGACTGTTTCTCAGCTGCGGTCTGTCACACGATGACAAACTATAACAGAATATGGACAGGAAGGCTCAACCTCTACTGTCATACCACCAGCTTGCATCTCTGATGTAAAAGTAGCAGGTATTACTTTTGGAGCAGCCTTTATACGTATTCCTGCAAAATACGAGTAAATATAAAGATATATCTGTAAATACCTCTGTAAAGCTAGCAGCAGCCTGGATTTAGTATAACATGTTCCTGAAACTTCAACGTTTTATAAAGCAATAATATTAAATTTTCAAATTCTTATAAAAAGTGAGAGCTTTGAGTACTTAATAGCATGCAAGCAAAACTTGATTTGAAAAATAAGAAAACGTCAAAAAATTACTGTAGTTACAGCCAATATCATATATGTACTGAAGTAGTAAAGGTGTGTCCTCCTGTCATCCCCCCCATTCTTTAGATCTGCATACAGGTAAGAAGCATTATATAACATACAAAAGGCTGAATTTTCTTTTTTGACTGCACGAAAGACTGAAGCAACAATTGCTGGTAGATTTCTATGATCTTATATAAGTAGTTTTATATCCTACTTATATTTGTGATAGCTATTTCAGCTGTCAATGTGCATGCTATTTAGTTCTTAGATTAGAGACTGTAAGTACTCATATGTTGTGCTGGTCTTCACGTCTTTTGCAGAGCTGATGGTAATACTAATCAGTATCAGCTTTTGGGCTACAGCTGTATAACATGTGTATTTTGTTCAGGTTTATTCCAGGGCAAATGAAAAAGAACCCTGCTGCTGGTGGTTGGCTAAAGTGAGAATGATAAAGGGTGAGGTAGGAATATGCATATAATATATACTTATTTACAGTTTTTCTTGTGTTGCTTTCATTTATTTTGATATAATGACTTTAGTATTTCTCTCTTCAATTTCAAAAAGTTTCTTGGCTAGGACAGTTGCAAGTACCGTTAACTTTGATCTAGAAAAGTTCAGATTTCGTTTGTGAGTTAACAAAAGTGCCTCTAACTTGATAGTGTAGTTCTTACTCTTGTAATAAAACGTGTCTTGGATGACTTTATTATTTTTATATCAGTTTTATGTAATAGAATATGCAGCCTGTGATGCTACGTACAACGAAATTGTCACAATTGAGCGTTTGAGATCTGTGAACCCTAACAAACCCGCAACAAAAGATACTTTCCATAAAATCAAACTGGAAGTACCAGAGGATTTAAGGCAAATGTAAGTGCAAGTATTTCTTTATAAATTGTTTCAAAACATGGGTAGCTTCTTGAGCTTGAGGCAAGAAGGAACAAAAAAAAGCGTCTTACTGCTTTAAAGAAATTTTTAAAATATTTGGTACAAATGTGAATATGATCATAGCTCAAAAATTTAAAATATTATCTTTAAAATGTAATTTCTGCTGGATTAAAGGATTTTGTGCAGAACAGATGTAAGATTTTTATTTATTGCCATTTGTTGTCTTACAGCTGTTCTATTATGTTTAAATTAATGTGAATCCATTCCCTGTCGTCTTCATTGATAATCTGTAAATGTTCAGTACTTCATTGATGGAGTATTTGACAATGTCAAAGCTGGTATTTAATGACAATAAAAAACATACTGTAGGGCATAAGATTTTCTGATGATGGCTCTGCAAGTAGTTGTGCAATGATTAAAAGTTCCCATAGTGCAGTACGTAAACTAGTTTTCTCCCAGAATGCTGACATCTTTTTTTTTCTGAATATAATTCTAAAATCTAGAATAATAGTGATTCCCCTCTTTTAGCTTCAGAATTAATTATTTTTTGAGGCCTATGTTATTGCCCCAGTATGAAAGAAGTTATAAATTCAGATTAGACTTGGAACTGTGGAAGTTAGTAAGTTACTGTGGAAGTTACTAGACAGGCTAGTAACAACAGTTACAGTAAACAAGTTCACTAAGTAATGTGTAGATAGTAGAAGTCTGGAGAGAAGCAAAGTATCAGTGTGAGATGAGCAGGAAGTTGTTACAATGCTGCAGTAGTTACAGTGAGGTCACATGTCCTACTGGTGCATAGTGCATTTGAAATTTTAGATTTGCTGGTGTAATGATTTTTAGCTTTTTTTAACATGAAGCTTAAAAACTTCATCCTACTCATGAAGAGAAACCAAAGTAAAGCAAGTAAAGTAGATTATGTCCGAATGAAATAATACCTTCGTTGCAAGGGGGAAGCTGGATATAGGTTGATAAATGGGTTTAAGATTCTTTGTATTAAGAAAGGAATCTTTTAGGCGGTAAATGCAGCAGTTTATTATTTTAACTTTGTAGCATTTTATTTTTAGGTGTGCCAAAGAGTCTGCACATAAGGACTTCAAAAAGGCAGTTGGAGCTTTTTCTGTAATATATGATTCCGAAAACCATCAGCTTATTATTTTAGTAAGTATGAACATCTAACCATGCCGAATGCAATAGTTTCTTTGAAAATTTCATATATAAAACATTGTTTTCTTTATTAATAATTTAGTCAATCAATGATGTAACAACGAAGCGGGCAAATATGCTGATTGATATGCACTTTCGAAGTCTTCGTACTAAGTTATCCCTGATTTTGAGAAATGAAGAAGCTAGCAAACAACTGGAGGTATGGATTTTTATTCTCTGAAGTAATTTTGGATTTAAAAATAATTTCCAAACACTAGATAGCTAATTGGAGTTGAATGGGAGATGAAAATAATTATTTACTGATACAGTAGGTAATAAGTTTATAGTTAGGAGACCTGTTCTTACAAATACTCATTTTTGTACGATCTCTACAATCTCATACCCAGTCCTTCCCATCACACAGGATTTTGTGTTACTAAATAAGAATAAATGTATATATTTTTTCAAACTATAAAGTAAATGTGTGTGTATACATGTGTATGTGTATACTATACTTCATAGTATGAACCATAAAATAATCAGTCATTATTGCATAGATAGTGCCACATTTTATAGGTTTGATTCAATGTTTTTAAAAATAGATGGAGTGAGTGTGGCTTGATACTAAGATAAACTAGAACAGGATCTTGCAAAAGAAACATAGTAGCAGTGGAATTAGGGACAGATAACATGGAAGAAGGAGTATAGGGATGCTGCTGTGTGTTGTAGGGGTGGGGTCAGGAAGGCCAACTGGAACTGGACTTGGCAGCAAGGGGTGTAAAGAAGAATAAGAAAGGCTTCTTTAGGTACTTCAGCCAGAAAAAAAAAGCCCAGGAGGGTGTACTCTTCCTAGTGAGCAGCTCAGACAGACTAGTAACAACAAAGGGGGAGTGCTGAGGTATTCAACTTTTTTTGCCTCAGTTTTCACTGGTGACTACTCTACACACAGCCCTTGAGTGGATAGCCCAAAGGGTGTATACAGAGCCAAGTGCAAGGTCTTGCACATGCATCATGGCAGCCCCATTACCAGTACAGGCTGGGGGATATAAGGATAAAGCACAGCCCTGCCGAAAAGGACCTGGGAGTGCTGGTGGATGGCAGCTGGACATGAACCAGCATTGTGCCCCCACAACACAGAAAGCCAAGTGGATCCTCGGTGCATCCAAAGCAGCATAGCCAGCAGGGCTAGGGAGGGGATCTGCCCTTCTGCTCTGTGCTCTGAGACCTCACTCATCCTGATGGGGAGTGCTCAGTACAGGAGAGACATGGACCCGTTGGAGCATGTCCAGAGTGAATCAACAAAAATGATCTGAGGAATGAAATACCTCCCTGCAATGACATGCTAAAGGATCTGGGGCTGTTCAGTCTGGAGAAGAGAAGGCTTCAGGGAAACCTGAGAGCAGCCTGTCAGTATTTAAAGAGAGGCAATAAGAAGGGAAGGGCGGACTCTTGAGCAGGGTCTGTTGTAATAGAACAAGGGGAAATTGTTTCGAGCTAAAAGAGGGGAGATTTAGATTGGGAAGAAATTTTTAAAAATAAGAGTGTGAGGCACTGGAAGGAGTTACCCAGAGAGGTGGTGAAAGCCCCATCAAGCTCTGAGCACCTGATGTAACTATCAATGTCCTTGTCAAATGCAGGGGAGTTGGACTAGATAGCCTTTAAAGGTCCCTTCCAACTCAAAAGAATCTATGATTCTATGAAAATGAGAGGTGAGTCTATGGGAGGGGGTGAGACTGTTGTCAGTATGTACAAAGGGATTGGTTTGTCTCTAGATAAAATTATCTTAGAGCAGATAAAACTTCTGATATTTCTGTAACTGGAGAGTGGGTGTTGACTGGCAAGAAGTTTGACTCATACTTGTCCATGGGAGGGGGGGGGGAGGAAGGAGTATACTAGGAAATTAGAGAATCTTTAGAATTAACCTATCTTTGTATTTTTTCTCTTTTCTACAAATCAGAAAAACATAGCAGCATTTCCAAAAACTTCTTTTTAGATTCATCAACAAGAACTAAAGGGTGTTAAAACTTTGAACTTTACGTGGATGTTGGTTTTGAGCCAGATTTCATTATTCCCCACTCCGCTCTCCAGGAAGGATTAGATCCACTGTGGTTTTAGCTTTAAGTGGGATATAGTGTGGTAGTTCAAACTTCTTATATCCAGTAGATGTACTCACAACTGCTTATAGGAAGTGTTTCTGTTACTCTTGTTAGTCTCCTGATTTCTGTATTATAGAGAGCTGTAATCCAAGATAGTTCAGGTCTAAATATTCTCAAGACCAAGAAGGAACCAGTTTGTTCTCTTTGATTCTTCTCATTGATTTTCCTTCTTGAGCATTCCCACTGTAGTTCTTCAGTCATGCATTTTTGTCTTCTTCCAGAATTGACAATCATGTGAGCAATTTACCTCATGAAATGTAAAGTATTATTTCAGAGGTGGGAAGAACAACAGCCTTTTCAGAGCTCATTCTGTGTCCCCACAGATGTGTGCACCAGAAGCTGCTGTCATTAATGCCTGTCCCTAACTAATCTGGGATTCTTGCTTTCGTTCTAAGTGTGAAACTTTTTTTCTGCTGCAAAAGGCTGAAGAATTTTGTTCAACTCTGCTTAGAAAGCCTTTGTTCTACCTGAGCCATACTTTAGTGATGGGTTATTGTGAGGTAAATATATAAATGATTATAATTAGTGTGATAGAAGTTGGCAGATATTTTTCATGTTTCCATTAAGAGCTATAAAGACAATTTCAGCCAAATTCAAAAACGACGGATAGCAAAAACTGTATTCATAATTTCTGTTGAAAAGCTAATTGGTATACAAATATATTGCACATATCCATGTGCAGAAAAAATATTTAGTGAATGCAGTTGGCTTTACTGCAATATTAATAGTTCATTATTTTGATCAAATAAACTCCTTTCTGTCTCATAGAACTTTGAATGTCTGCTACTTTTTTTTCTTCTGTAGTTAAGAGTAGGAAAGGTAAAACTGCTATGATGACTACACTAGGTTCTCTTTCTTTTTCCCTTTCTCTTTGTTGTGTTTTATACCTTCTTTCATTTCTGCATATTAGCTTCTTGCATGGCTTTCCTTCTTAAACAAGACTTTTAGAAAATCAAGTAAAATAACTGAACAAATCAGTTTTTGTTTGCTTCCCTTACCTATTAGGTATGGCTTAATTATTTTGAGATTTTAAAAAAACAAACGTGGAAATCTACTTTAATATTCTGGTTTGGTTTTTATTATCTATGAATACAATTTGGACATGACCTCTAAGTATTAATATATTCTTTTTGTATCTGATTCTCATTAATCTATTCAAAGAAAATAGTTAGATTTTTGCAGTGTTTTGACACAATACGTCTTGTAATATATAGCTTCTGGAGAAGCTAATGATATTTTAGTAGATGTGATATAAATGCATTTTAACTGTCATAGCTGAAGACAGCAGTGATGATGTGGTTTCATCTTTTCTACAAATCACAGGTAGTTGTGTTAACCACTGATTGACTTGGTCATCCTATTTTCTATTCTCATTTGATGGTCTGTAACACATTAACTAGTAAAACAGCTACTGGTTTAACTGTTGGAATGTAGATGTGCAAACATTCAAAATAATACTTGCTGTCTTAGTTGCCTGTAACACAGTTAAAGAAATGCTGCATAGTGATTCCTGAGTATTTCATGAATTTTGGATATTTTCCCACTATTTGTTGTAGCCAGTATTCCCGGACAGTGATTTACCACAAGATGTTTATCAGCAGTTTTAACCTGACCAGGTCAGGTAACAGTAGCAATTCAGATAGGACGGAGTTTTTAACTTCTGTAGAGTTTCATGTTGCAAGAGGTTAAAGAGCTGTTATCACCTGAACAATTTTCAAGCGTGGCTTTGTGTCTTCACAACTTCAATGCAGTGCAGGAAAATTATTCATATAGAATTATTTCTTGATTCTGGAATGATAATAGAACTTTATTTTTCTTGCAGAACACTGTTTCCGTTTTACTTAATACTTTCTGCCTGTGATGATATAATCTTCTGTAGATGGATTAAGTTATTACTAATAAGTCTTGCTATGGTAAATAGAGACTTTTTACATGTTTTATATTTGCTCTTCTCTGTAGATCTAAGTACTGTAACTTTATTTAAATGTGTAACAACTTAATTGTCATAAACAATGTTAGTTTTGTTTTGTATATTCATACTCTGATTTGTTTCCATATGCTAGTTAACTGAACTTAGTGATCGCCTGGTTTCATATAACACAGGCATCTTATAAGAAAACTTAATCTGTTTCTTTGAAAGGATGAAGATGATGTAGTAGAAATTTATCAGCCATTGTTTTAGTGTTTATAAACAAAAGATTTTTATGGAATTTGTATTTTTTTTTTTAATGAAATATCCACCTATCTTTAGCAGCTTCTCCATTCGTTTGACAGGTTGTGAAGTTCACGCTGTTCAGTATTTACCAAGCTTTTTTTTTTTTTTTTTGCACTTTTAAGATCTGGTCATGCCAGTAACCTGAGGCAACACCTGAGGTGTTGACAGGTTGTTCTTATCAAGACAAGATTTTATGATGGTATCGAAATCTGTCATTCCTGCATATCTGAGTATTTTCCATGCAATCCAACTCCACAGCATGCTGCAAGATAGTTCTCAAAAGTTATCCTCCGTTCCCATTTCTTCTTGCTTGTTGTGTGATGGATGCTACAATAATACAATAACAAAAACATTGAAACTGCTTTATATATACTTCTATAAGTTGAAGTTCACTGATGTGGTTTTCTTGGAAGCTCAGGCTTGCTTCAAAAATTTGTTTACTGTAGTTATTAGTGTTATTTTTAACTTGTTCCTTTTTTGATTTTTTTTTGTATGTTTTTATCTGTCTTTCTAGCAATGTTTTGTTTTAAAGCTATTTTTAATTACTTTTTTCTTGGTGTCTTCTTTCATATAGGAAACCTTCATTAAGATTCTGTAAGTCATTTTGTATGTTTAGTTATACCATAGCAGTTTCACGAAAAAGTGATAAGAGTTGTGAAGCAATTACCAGATGTTTAATTTGAGGTTACCTGAGTCTCAAACACATGATTGAGTGTTCATTTAATAGCTTAGTTTCTTCTATCCCCTTTCTGAAATAGAATTTTGTCTTGATAGTATGAATCTGAATTTCTCAGATTAATGGGTAGAACTGTGATTCCTGGGTGAATATTTTAATGCATTCTCTCAGTCTAAGCAATGTATTGGATTTTCACCTTAATTTTGTTGCCTTCTGTACACACCAGTTTTTTTGTTTTTATACACAGAGGACATCTATCTATAGAGTATTATCTTTGTAGCTTTGGGACTGAATTTTAATTGAGCAACCGTTGTTTCCCACTAACTTGAAATGGTGCAGTTTTCTACACAGATCATAGGGTTTCCCTTAATCACTATTGTATGGTATCTGTTGAGTCACCCCTGAAACACTGATTGAGCAACAGGGGAAAGGACCCAGTCAGCCCTGGGAGCATAGGCAGTTCACCTGTGAGACAGGAAGGGATGGAGCCTGGCTCCACTGCTCTTAGACATTATTTAAGGGCTGACTGCCATTGGGGAGGGATCTCTTCCTGGTGATCCCTCCTTGGTGAAGCTTTCCCCTGTGAACCTAGAATCTTCTGACACAGGTGAGCAATCTTCTTCCCTTCCTTTATAGCACCTCTCTATTGTGCCAGCCCTTTTATCATCACACTTTGTTGTAATATTTTTCCCATTGTATTGATCTAATTGGTACAAATATCCGGATTCATTTCAGAGTTCTAGACAACTTGCATCACGATTTCATGAACAGTTTGTTGTTCGTGAAGACTTAATGGGTTTGGCTATTGGCACTCATGGTGCTAATATTCAGCAAGCCAGAAAAGTCCCTGGAGTGACTGCCATTGATCTTGATGAAGATACCTGCACATTCCATATTTACGGAGAGGTAAGATCCCTTCTTTAACCTTTCAGATAATAATAATAATCAAAAAACAACAAATGCTTCGGGAAAACCCATCTCATTTCTCTTATATACCCTATGTGTTTTAGGATCAAGATGCAGTGAAAAAGGCAAGAAGTTATCTTGAGTTTGCTGAAGATGTCATACAAGTCCCAAGAAATTTAGTAGGTATGTTAGAGATTAGTGTTGAAGAAAAATGCATTCTGAGGTTTTTAATTTTAGAACTGAGGCAGGTTAAGAAAAAGCTGAAAAAGTTATGTGTGAGCAGTTCTTAGGAGCTAGAAAGCCTTGGAGTTTGAGATGCTTTTCTTGATGTTTTTTTTGTTGCCCACCTTTCCCCTCCTTCCCCCCCCCCCCATTCTGTGTAGAATTTTTCAGTCCTTTGTAAGGAATTACCTGCTGGTTTGCAGTTCAAATGTGCCTTAATACAAAGTAGAACAGTTTCTTGATTGAGCCTAAGAATTGAATGACTTCCTTCAAAGATGCTGTGATTTTTTTCAGCTCTACAACAGATAAGTACTACTTGCACTGTCTTGTATTTTTCTCCTGTGCTTTTGTTTGTTTAGAAGCAGCCCTGTAGGATAAACTGAAGGCCTGGTTAAGGCACTTGAAGGTCAAGAAAGCTGTCCAAAGATAATAGTGACTTTGATTATCAAATACCTCATGAGTGCACAGGAGTGCATGTGGCCCTCATTATGTGGGGTATATGTGGAAGTTCTTTTATTGAGTTTTGTTGCTACAAAGAGGGAGAATACTATGAACTCCAACATACTTCGTATGGAGCAATTTATGAAAGCTTGTGTTGAAACTAAAATTCTGCAATGGGACAAGTGCTTACAATCGCTCAGATCTGGAGTTGTTTTAAACAGTAGCTTTAGGGTAGGTTCTTCATCCCACTCCTTGTTACTTCTAGGGGGCAAGTGAAATGATAGGCTGCTATTATTACTTTAACTTGAAATTTATTTTACTTTGTCTATTTTCTGTTTACAACTTCTGGTTTTGGCAGCATTTTACTTTTAGTCTGCTTCTTGGCCTAGATTCCTTAAAATACATAATTGGACCAACCATATCTCATATCAAAAATAGTGCTTGTTCACTTACTAATTTCTAGTTAATTTGCCAGAAAATGAATGAGTTTGAATTATGAAGTCAAAACCCTTTTACTACATTACTGGAATCTTTATATTTTCCATAGATAAAATAAAAACTTGACATCTGTTTTCTCTACCTAATTATCCTTTAAAAAATTTCAAATAAACTAAAAAGTTTTTGTTGTCTTTTTGAAGGTTTCATAGAAATCAATAACCTGAAATGTAGGTTACAAAATGGACTGTATGTATACATAATTTTTAATGGATTTCATTGTGCTGCTGAATTCTACTTAATATTTGTTTTCAAGAAATACATTTTTTATAATTTAATGTTCATTTTTGTGTTTTGGTTTGACTTTTTTTTTTAATTCGCCACCAATGCTTTTTTGTTTTGTTTTGTTTATTAGGAAACTGTTATACCAAAGATATGTAATGGAGTAAATTATTCAAACGAAGCTTTTGATTTGTGGTCAAGAAGACCTTGGTAGCTGTTTTTCTCATATTTTCTACAAATATTTAGAGTTTAAAATTTCATGGTTTCAAAAAAAAAAAATGAAACAGACATGAAAATTTAGTTTAGCTTTGAATAATGAGAACAATGTCCTGTGTGATTAAAAGGGAAAAAAAAAAAAAAAAAAAAAAGGTTAAGTTGTAGGCTCTTCAGCAGTTGTAAGATTCTGTGTTCCTGTTAAATATGTTGTGGAGTATTAAGCTATTTTGGTAAGTTCTTTCACTGTTAACTAAATGATTTTGTTTAATTACAATATAATAATACTCTCAATCCTTAGGGGAAAAGCCTTGAGAATTGAGTGTTTTATATGTCCTTTTTGTAGGGAAAGTAATTGGAAAAAATGGAAAACTGATTCAGGAGATAGTGGACAAATCTGGTGTTGTAAGAGTGAGAATTGAGGCTGAAAATGATAAAAATATTCCACAAGAGGAGGTATGTTTTCATTTAATGTGATTTCTGTGTTATCTGATGGTTGTATTCTGCCCAGTGATAAAATAGATTCTTCCTTCTATCTTCATAATGTAAGGTGAAGTTCTGATTATAATGTAGGTGTTGTTTCTTTCTCCTCAGGTCAAAGCATGGCAGGAAAGAGTTGGTACTTATTTTTATGTCGTATTAGAAAAGAATGTATTCTAGTCTTCCAAGATGCAGAGACAAATGTTGCAGACTTCCTTTTTGCGAAGAACAGTAGTCTGGTTTTAAATCTGAATACAGCATTGGGTTCTTTTTTCTTAACACTGAAGCAGATCAGGATTTTACCATAGATTTTGTGTGTAGTTTCGTAAATTGCATAATTTTATATCAGGATTTCCAGATTTAACAATTTTTTAAATGAAATAGTTCTGTTTGTTTGTTACAGTGGTATATATTCTTTGTCCCTAAATTTTTTATGCCCATAAGTTGCTCAGAATTCACTTCAGAAACTAGGTGGAAGACTCTGCTTTTGCTTTGAAGTTAGAAATAAGGCTCGATAAATAAGCACTTTGAATTCTTTGTGGGGCTGAAATTGCTTGACATTATTACTAGCTCAAATTGTTATGAGTTGTCACTTGTACACACAGGTTCCTTGGCTAAAAGTGACAGTGTGCATCTGCTTTTTCCTTAAGTTGTTTTTGAGTCAATTGTCTTTTATTTGATCTGATATTATAAAGTAGTTAATGCCCATTCTGTTGTTTTTTTTATATTAAAAAAAAAACAACTTAATTATTAAATACTTATATTATCTGACGTACTTTAAGTTTTATATTTCAGTTGAACATGCTTGTGGCTAAAGGATTTCTAATCCTCATAGAATCTAGTGTTAGTACTGGGGCTTCCTAGAATAAAAGAATTATATACGTTTTTCTCCTTGCAGTATATTTAGTGCAGATGTATAAAATCTAATGGGTCATTTGCCCATTTAAAAAAAATAGAAATATTACAGTTTTGTCACTGTCATTTCAGGGAGCTTCAGCAAGCTGTGAGTGTTTATTTTTTTGTTTTTTAAGAGCATCTTCAGTCACTCTCAGTTGAAGGAGTATGGGGGACAAAAGCAAATCTCCGTTTCAAATGCAGTTGTTTAACAACTGTGTGTACGGTGGAAGTACATGCTTAGAGGTTGTGATGAGATAACCTAGTGATTATTTATTTATTCAATTATAGATAAGTTCAGTTAGGGTAATCAAGTTCTGTCTGCACTGACATAGGTTTCAGTGTCTTGAGTCTTTAGAAGACTTAGTTTGACTTTTGCAGTTCACAGTGAAGCTTGTACTATTTTGAGGCTGCAACTGATAAGTCTCAAGTAGTTTAAATCTAGCTCATGTTTGGGAGGGCAGTAGTGCTAAAGTTTAGCTGTTTTCAGTGCTCAGGGCCCTGTTAGGTAGATTTCTTGGACTGTTTAATCACCTAAGTTGATCCTCAGATATTTTATCTGAAAAGGTCATAATTCCAGGCATTACAACTTTAGCTCTATTTTTTTCCGGTTATCTTATGAATGACTTAAAATGACCTGCAGCATAAAAGTAGCTGAGTGAGAGCAAATATGATCAACAAAGGTGACATTAGTTATGAAAGAAGGGAAGAAATATGATATTTTATTATTTCATTTGATATGGAAAAAAATGTGGATGTTGTCTTAAGTTTTTTTTTAAGCAAGATTAGCTTTTAGCACCAGGAGAATTTAGTCTAGATGATCTAGTTAGCATAAAACTTAAATATACTGTTGTCTTATTTTGAATTTATGCTTATCCATATTGTAAAAATTGTTTTCTGGTTTATAAAAACATTAGGTTCTCTTTGATACTTCATGGTTAATCGGTAACCATTGGATTAATATTACTGTGCTGCTGTCTTTTAGGGAATGGTACCATTTGTATTTGTTGGAACCAAGGATAGCATCACTAATGCAACTGTTCTTCTGGATTATCATCTTAATTATTTAAAGGTGAGGATAAAACTGCTTCTCTGCCACTTTAATTTTTCTAATACTTAAGGTAAGAGGAGGATGATAAACAAAATCTGTTTCGGCCCCAAAGGTTTTTGAAAAATTGATATTATATCCAGTCAATCTAAAAAGGCTTATTGTAAAAGCCACAGTGGTTTTTTGGTCTTGGTTCTTGGTTTAGTTTTTGGCTTGTTTATTTTTTGAAAGAATCGACTATCAAAAGGGTAGAGTAAAAAAAATATGGTTTTTTAGAATGCACAATACAATGGAATAAGAAACAGAAGAAAAATCAATCTCAAATGCAAGGAAGAGAGAAATTCCATTTCCCTAAGTGTTGAAGGGGCTTGCCAGTGTCTTAATTGGAGTAGGTGACCCTCAAAAAATGCCTTCCAACCTCAGCTGTTCTCTGGTGGAGAGGAAACTTTTTCAGGTTTTGTAAATAGATTTCCCACTTACAAAAAAAAAAAAAAAAGGCAAAAAACAGAACAAAAAGAAAAAAAACAAATGAGTGAGAATAAAGGTTGCTACCTGCTGTTGATATTAACTAGGCAACTTCTCAGTCTATAACAGAAGTGCTTTCTAAGTCTGTTGCTGTCAATAGCTTCTGTTTGTGTATCTCTTCTAGTTGTTATATGTGTTCAGAAATTCCATGTGCAGACTGTCTTTCTGTGTCTGAGTTACAGCTCTTTTTGCTCTATGCTTTGATGCTTCTTTACATCCCTGATATTATTCATTATAGTTAGGTAGAATTTAACAACTATGTAAGGTCTAGGCATTTATATGAAACCATGCTATTACATCATAATTGTTTAATTTTCATATTTACTATATGCAAGAATAGGAAGCTTGTGGTGAAATCTTATCTTAAAATGTTTACACCATGCTATTGTTGGGACAGTGTGAATGGATATTACTGTATTAAAAAATAAAGGAATGTAAATTTCACCGTTTATTTAACATTTTCATAACTATACAACAGATTATTCTCGAAGTATTAAATAGATTATCATCAGAAACACTTCTATTTTTGTCCTGATAAATGCAGTTGGATCATTACATATGGTTACATCTGATTTTGTTATGCTTCTGTTTGCATAGGAGGTGGACCAGCTACGTTTGGAAAGACTGCAAATTGATGAGCAGCTTCGACAGATTGGAGCTACTTCTAGGCCACCACCAAATCGTACAGATAAAGAAAAAGGGTATATGACTGATGATGGTCCAGGGCTCGGAAGAGGTAGTCGACCTTACAGAAACAGAGGGCATAGCAGACGTGGTCCAGGCTACGCTTCGGGTAGGTAACTAGAAATGTGCTTAATGTGTGTTTTAATAGTAGTCAATTAGATATTGCTTTCTTGAATCCTGTTCTATTAGTAGTTAATACTTTGGAAACACGAGTGTTCAATGAGAAGTTCAATTCGTGTCAGGTAATAAAATTTTGAAGACTATTTAAGAGCTTTTTGCTGTAGAAATTATTCTGAAGTGAAATTTACTGCTAATATTTTCACAAAGCTTCTGTCTCTAAGAGCACATGTATGTATAAACTGTTTAGGGCAAAGATTATTTTATCTGTATTTTAAACAGTTCTTAGTGAAGTCTTGGTTTTCCTTTTACCCTCTAAGAGGATATTTTTGTATAAATACAAATAAAGTTAGAAAAGATATTGCATGTAGTTTAATTTACAGAAGTGTTTACCTCATATTAAGTTCAATTTGTATTTTTTTTTACTAGAAGAACATAGTCAAGAAAATAAGGTTGTTCTTTTAGACTTTAAGTTATAAATGGATAGTTTTGGGATCTTACTTCAGAGCTGTTTATAACCTCAGTATCCAGAATAAAGGCCTGCTGATGTTTGTCCTGACTGAAAGGCCCGTATGAGCTTGTTAAAGACAATTCAGGAATATATTCAGTGTAGTAGAAGACCAATGTTTTTCTGCTGAAGCCCTTTTATGATTTTTTTCAAAGAGATAAAGGCTGACCTGGCTAAGAAGTGTTACATGAAAATAAGATTGGTGTAAAGAATGAAACTATCATCAAAGGTGATCTATTAGCTACAAAAATTATGGAATTGACAGTTGATACATTTCTAGCCTTTTTTTCCCCATTTTAATAAAGGAGTATTGGATATGGGCTGAGACAGGACAAGTCAAATTCAGGAATTTAGTTTCTTTTTAGTCTGACTAGGCTTACTACATTTGCACAACAGACCTAATAATTGATAAGACTATTAAAACCAAGTAACTGTGAAAGTGTGGTGCACAATTTAAACTGATGTGTACTTCTAATTTATTGAAAATACCTGTATTGACTGTTTGGAGAAGTACATATGTGGTAGAGATTGGGAAACAAGAATTCCAAAATTGTTGATAACTAAAATTTTCAAGTGCACATGTGTATTTTTTGTTCTGTTGACAAACTGAGCTACACTGGCAACTTTGGATTTTTTGTATCCTTTTGATAGGAACTAATTCTGAAGCATCGAATGCTTCTGAAACAGAATCTGATCACAGAGATGAACTTAGTGATTGGTCATTAGCCCAAGCAGAAGAGGAACGAGACAACTACCTTCGCAGAGGAGATGGGCGAAGACGTGGAGGTGGTGCAAGAGGGCAAGGAGGGAGGGGTCGTGGAGGATTCAAAGGTAAATCTAGTCTTAATTCTGGAGAAGGTCAGTGTTGGTATTCTTAAGCCAAGTTTTCTCAGCCTATTGTTTCATGTAATGTACTTCAACATCCTAGTCTTCCCAGAAGCCCTCTTTTGAATTCTCTACACTTTGTCAGTCTCCTTAAACTGAACACTTAGTACGTGTACTGAATGTTGAGCAGAGGGGAAATCCCTTCTTTTTACCTGCTGACTACACGTAGTAACAAACTCATTATTCAGTTGGCTGTCACTGTTGTGATAGCATGTTTATGTCTATTCAATTGTTGTCCAGCAGACCACCATAGCTCCTCCTATATAGGCAGTCTGTCTACAACAGACACTGTTGGATGGAGTTACTCTGAAGCTGTGGGACTTTAAGTTCATCTGTAACATTAATGAGTTTCCAGTCAGTCAATTCCTTCAGCTCACTGAGGTCCTTATAATTGGCAGCCCTAAATTCCGAGTACATAAGCTGCTGCCCAGAGTTTGATGTCATCTGGAGACTTGCTGAGGAGGCATTCTGAGGTCCTTTCATGCATTCTGTAACAAGTTTCCTCCCTATACGAGTTAGTTGTGATTACGTTTCATATAATTTGCCCTCCTAACATGCGTCTTGACTCAAACTTGTGGGTTATGTCATTACTTACAGAGGTCAAGGAATCAAATTCTATTTTGGCAATATATATATAGAGTGATCTCTTAAAATCTTACACATTCCTATCATCCATATTCCCATCTTCTTGTATTTGGTTTCCGTGCAAGGGTTATATAAATCTGGAATTTACATGTTGAATGGAAAAGAAGAGACAAAAGTAAAATGGGTGAACTCATTGGAGTTAAATTTTCTTTACTGATGTGATTTTTTTCATTGAGTATACTTAAATAATTATTCTACAACTTTGCGTATTTTTTGAAATGCTTTTTCAAGTTATGGATATTGCTTAATTTAACAAGATTTTTTTCCAAAAGAAAAGTACTGCAGTATTAGCCATTACAGAAACTGTGAGTATGTTAAATTGTACTTAAGTTGACTGTGTCTTTCTGTCCTGTGGTTGATCATTTCGTAAGACATCCTCAGTTCCTTCAGGAGATGGTCTTTCTTAAACTGTTCTAAGTGCTGTGGTTTTGTCTACTGTGATTTACCACCTGAGAAGATTTTCTGTGTTGATTCTTCAGTCATACTTAAAGAACTGTTGCTATTTTATCGAGGGTATTTTTTAATGTTCTTTAGGATGGAAACTTTAATTACCTGTTATGCTCGTGAATTTTTTAAATAAAATTTTACGTCCTTATTGAAAAACATAGGTAATTCTTCTTGCAGGAAATGATGAGCAGTCACGAACAGATAACCGTCAGCGTAATTCAAGAGATGCAAAAGGGAGAACAGCAGATGGATCTCTACTGGTAATTTTTATCTTCTTAGAACTATGCAGTGTTTAAAATTTCATGATTGTTATATACTAACAGTAGATTCTTCAGAACAGCAGCTGACACGATAGCCTTGTGGTTTCTCATTTTCTAATTGCATTTACAAGAATAGCCTTGTTCTGTATTTTTTAGCATTCATGCTACTTGATACATCAAGATGCAGCTAGCTAATGTGGAGACTGCTGGTCTTTGTTTTGCTATCAGTCTCTGAAAGTAGTAAGTGGCATTGTTTGATTTTTTTTTTTTTTTTTTTAGCTCAAACTGACCACAAATTGACTGATAGTTTAGATCTTATTTCTGAGCTTAGTTTTCCCTTGGATTAGAACTCTGCTCCTGAACCCTGAGGTCTTATTAGGCAGCTTTATTGTATTCTTTATCATCATTAGCCTATAATTCTTTTTTTCTTTGAGACATTGTCTACTCTTGTTTCTATCTTTTCAACACAAGAGTGTAACTGAAGAAAAAAAATGCTTTAAGTAGAAAGGTATGTGTATTGCAGCCATAATCTCCAGAGAAGTTAAGTATGCAAATGAAGAAACAGTTCAAGTCACATATTGGAAATGCTCAGTAGATTTTTATAAAAATACTAGTACAGTTTTTCAAATACATTTCATTAGGCAGGGTTTTGTATATACTTGAAGTTTCCCCAAATGGAAACTGTTCTCATTTTGTATGCAATTTGCAGACCTCCAACCATCTCTTACTGCGTAAGATGAGTTACACTGGGAGGAAAAAATGAGGAGTTGCTACCTTTTGCTTGGTGTTACAGGGAGTTCTGATCAGATTGAGGTGATTCTTTTCGGTTAATCAGCAATTCACTTTATAGTTAATAAGCTGTTACCTACTTTAAGTAGATAAAGGAGGATGAAATAGATGAAGGCAGATGTTGATATTGGGAAAAAGAAACAAAGAAAACCATCAGTCATCATTTTTTTTCTGTTGCTCTGAGATTTAGAGGTAATATTCTGTTTTAACTTAGCACTGAAATATGCTTGAAATCTGACAAAATCATAAAACCTTCTTGTAGTATTTTAAGTAATAAGCTAGAAGTAGTACTAAGGGATTACCTCCTACAAGTAAGAAACATCTAATGCTTATTTGAATGTTTATAAAGTGTGGCTATTTGTAACAGGCATGTAAGTCTTTTTCGATTAAGTGACTTTTTTCAGGTTCAAAAGGTGCATGTTCAAAAGGGTAGGTGACTTTTTATTGTTGATACCATTTCATGACTTTTCTAGGACTGTTTTTTCAGAATGCTTCTATACAACTCGAAACTTGAATTATTAAAAGTAAAATAATATTTCAGAGTTACATATTATACTGTAAGTTCTTCAACTTCTTCTTGCACGTAAACTTTTTCTTCCAGTCGCAAGAGGGTGTGAGTGCAGGGAGCACCTTTCAAAGACTAGGTAGTCTAGAGTGTGAGGACTTCCACATTTCTGGGTGGCTTTTTTTTGTGTACGTGTTTCAAGGAACATAGCTTTTTCAAACAGAAACATAATCGTATGGTGCCTGTTTTCAGCTAGTTGTCTTTAACAAAACCTTAATGATCTGGCACTACTTTTCTTCTGACTTTAATAAAAAGCTCTCCTTCCTGGCTGCAAAGGTTGCAAGTACGTAAGGGGTAGATAAAAGGAGGAGAATGCTTTATATAACTCTGACTTGTTCCAGATCAGAATTGACTGCAATAATGAAAGGAGTGTTCACACTAAAACATTACAGAATACCTCCAGTGAAGGCAGCCGGCTGCGCACAGGTAAAGAACGTAATCAGAAGAAAGAGAAAGCGGACAACGCAGATGGTCAACAGCCGCTGGTGAACGGAGTACCCTAAACTGCATAAGTCTAAAGTCATATTTCCTATACTGTTTCAGTAATTCCTATTCCACGTTAGAGAAACTTGTTAGGCCAAAGACAAATAGTAGGCAAGATGGCGCAGGGCATGAAATGAACATATGTTCTCTGTTAGCCTTTTTTTAACATCAACAGTATGCAGTTGTTTTCAGAATAAAAAGTTATTAAAATATTTGCATAAAAAATATCTGAATTTCCGAAAATTGCTTTCAAGTACATATTGCACTTCAAACAATTAAAGAACCTTTTTTGTTTGTTTTAAAAATACTGAGCTGTGCATTGGTAAACTTTCTGTTCAGTTGTACCATTTTAACGCACTGGGTCAAAATCACTGCTCAATTTCAATTCTCAGAATAAATAGTGTTTGCAGTAATCAAATTGGCTTCTGTTTTCAATCTAACTTACAAGTTCTTCATGAAATGCTATGTCGTTTTATGTCCTGTGTCACGTTCTGGTCCACCTTTTTCAGTATTTTAGTGGACCCTGAAATATGTGTGATGTAACAGTTGTCATTTTCATTAGCAAAAAAGTTGTATGATCTGTGCCTTTTTTATATCTTGGCAGGTAGGAATACTATATTTGGATGCAGAATTCAGGGAAGATGAGTTGGTAACACTAAATGTAAAATATATGTAGCAATCTTTGTCAGATGTTAGTACTTTATAGACAAGTGCATGCTTTCCATAATTTTTTCCTTACATAAACATTGGGTTAGGCAGTTATAAGAATAGGAAATTTATTTTGCACTGAAGATTTGGCGAATAGTGTTACTGAAAAAGGGGTTGTAACTTTTTCTTTGTAGGCAGTATAGATTTTTAAAAAAAAAAAACTAAAAAAAACCTTTACGTTGTGGAGAACTTAAAGGAAAAAAAATGAGAAAAAGAAGCAACAACAAAAAAATACAACTCATTGTTACTGAGGGAACAAAAGTAATTTGTTCACATCTAGTAATGTGTGCCTGCTGTTTGGCCAGATGACCAGTTTAAAGCGCTAATGTTTTTCATCCTCCCAAAAAGTTCTGCATTGTTATTTTAATTTGGGGACTATCTCAGGAGAGGTAGAAAGAAAATCGCCGTCCTGGAAAGTCCTGGTGTAGTAACTGGAGATGCTGTAGGTGGAACAAATCCATCATACTTTGAGGTACAAGGTCTGAATTACCAGCCCATTGGAATGAGATGCAGAATTTGATCCAAAGTGCAGTGATACACTAGGGAAGGGTGGGAAGCAGTGGGAGGAGCTGTGCTTTCTTTTATTTTTCATCACACATTAAGCTTAATGGGCACAGCTATATAAGGACCTCTGTTTTAATCCATTTTTTTATTCAAATTACTCCAGAATGAGAGCCACTCATTATGTACAGAATTGTACAAACTTGACCTTGCCTCTGATGTATTTTGTGAGTTTTGTTTCTTTGCTTCCTACATTCACTGTTTTCCTTGCATACAGGTGAGAATACTAAAAATGGCAACAAACTGCACATGATTTAACAAATATAAAAATGTCTTAAAAAGTATTGCCAAACATTAATGTTGATTTCTAGTTATTTATTTTGGGAATGTATAGTATTTGAAAACAGAAATTGGTACCTTGCACACATCATCTGTAAGCTGTTTGGTTTAAAATACTGTAGATAATTAACCGAGGTAGACTGACCTTGTAATGTAACTGCTCTTGGGCAATATTCTCTGTACATATTAGCTACAACAGATTGGATTTTATGTTGACATTTGTTTGGTTATAGTGCAATATATTTTGTATGCAAGCAGTTTCAATAAAGTTTGATCTTCCTCTGCTAACTGATGTTCATGCAATCCTTATAAATGATTGCTTTAAAAAATCTCAAGGCAAGTAGAGAATATATTTCTGTTTAGACCTTAACTGTAGCCTTTGTTACTTCCACATTCTAAAAAAATTCTGAAGTATTACCAGTTTTCAAAAATATGGCACATAATGCTCAAGAAAGTGTTCTCATTATGAAATGGTACAAGATCTGTTGATTTGTCACACTATATGCACTATATCTCTTACATTTAGTGGTGAGTTTACTAAGGTGTTAACTAGGTTAAATGTGAAGTTAAAACTACATTTCTGACTAATTAGTCACATTCCATTTTCAAGTGCATTTTGGAATTATGACCTTTCAGTATTTGTGTACTTAACATGTATCCCTTTCAATTCAAATTCTAGTGTTTTTAAATGTTATTAAATTTCAACAAATTAAACTGTGAATCTAAATGTTTAGTTTTATTTTGAAAAATCATGTGATGGTTTAAAAAAAAAAAACAACAACAACTTGAAAGTGCAACAAATGTCTGATCCTTGAGTTCAGATCTGTCGTATCGGTAACTTATAAAGTATGATCTAATGAATTAAAATTATTTTAAAAATAAAGTTCTTTAAACAGAGTGAGAGGTATTCATGAATGATGCCAGAGTTTAAATTCAGTAGAGTTAACTTCAAAGCCTTATAAATTAACAAATGTTTATGAAAATAGAAAGTCTGTGTTTACTTTCTGTATTGAATGCATTTTTGCTAATATTGTTGGGTAGTTATGATCCTCAGAATTTGCTTGAAATACCGTCAGGAATCAATCTTCTCAGGAAAAGATCTATCTATGTTAGTGCTCTTGATGAGTATTTGTGAGTTCAAGAAGCAAATCAATTGACTTGAGTATGGAAACTTTTTTAGATGACCTATTTGTAGATCGGCTTTTTCTACCGTTTTGTGTCACTAAAATAAAATGTTTTTTGCTTGTCCATTTCAGCAGGCCAAAAACAAGTAAAGTGCTGCAAGTAAATTGAGTGCGTAGACTGTTCTTTGTAGGAACACTTACTGTAAAAGGTAACTTATTTTTCTGAGCTGCAGCATATCTTCTCTTCAAAACTCATATGTCCAATATTAAAGGAGAATAGATTAAGTAGTTCCCAGTGTACTCACAGTGTATTCCACAGTCGCTTCAGGAACCCTGATGTATGGTTCTGGTAAGTGGTGTTCTGTATTAAACAACAAAAGGAAAGGTGAGTCTCAGGGTTTTTTTTTAACTCCGTGTATTGTTAAAGACTTTCTTGAAACAGTATCAGCTGTAATAGTAGAACTGAGTGCGTGTTTTGATGCTGATAATATTATTTAATGTAGTTTTTTCAGTTGCATGATGAGTTTACCATCAACTTGAACATAACAGTTATGTTTTCATCTTAAACAATGCTAGTCAGAGTCTTCTCCAGCTGTGTTCACATCCATTAAATCACAGTGGCTAGAAGAAATGTAATATCTGAATGCATAAGGCATCTTTACATAAGTTATGAAAATTGATGCTAGTTCTTCAGGGTTAAGTGTTCTGTACGGAGTCCGGCTCCATCTACAGGATTGTGCTGTTGTGAGTTTGACTGAAATCAAGTCAGCTTTCACGTGATGTTTTCATACTTATTTACTGTTGGAAGTGTTGTCTTCACTGCAGTAGCTCTCGACTCTCTGGAAGTATGAGATCCACGGCAGCCTGTGGATCTTATGCCCGCAACAAGTAATTAATCTTTCTGTTCCTAACAGTCATTTTCAGCTGTACCTCATGTTTGCCACCTCTGCTTGCATGATGCATAAGATCACTGATCTTGAGCAGTTCCTGAGGGAGATAAATAACACTAAATTGAATATGGACTGGTTGCTACTGTTTTTTTTTGTTGTTGTTGTTCTTTCAAGCCTATTTTAAAGAAATCCTTAAAGTAATTTCTGAGTGCCCTATGAAACTGGATCATAAACAAAAAAAAAAAAAAAAAAAAAAGAAGCAACAATTATAGATGAATGCATTAAGTTTCTACTGAGGTTTCAATAAGACAAGATTCTTTCTCATATTTTTGTTCTGAATAAAAAAAACCAATTTCCAATAAATGCAGGTAATTTAAACCAAACTAGCATCTCATAGATGTAGTCTCTAAATGATGAGGAACTCAGCTATTGTAGAAGCGGTATAATGAAAGTTTGTTTGAGGTCATATGGGGGTATTAAATGACTTTTTTTTTTTTTTTGCTGGTGGATTTCGTCTATACTCAAGGCTCAAGTTAGATTTTATAAAATCAATTGTCTTTTTTGAGGAGTGTATCTTAATGGCCTGAGGTATCCATTACCTGGTCTGCATATGTGTCTATTAGACGGTATCCCTGTATTGTATGTTAGTAATGGCACAGACAGACATAATCTTAACTTAGTGAGTTAAAAGACTGAATCTTCTAGCAGTCTGCTCCTTGGGAGGCTGACGTTTTCAAATCACATATGCAGCTGCTTCTTCTGGTCTGTCAAACATTAGCATCAGTTCCACATCTATCCACATTTGTACTTTGTTCTGAGCTACATCATAGGTAACAAGTAGTCCATTGTGACGAGGAGGTTTGATTCTGTCTGGAGTTGCACAGGATAGCCGTGATCTTACTGATCCAATTATAGAAGAAAACGTAAGGGAAGTATGTTGGGGAGAAACTATAATGGGTGTCTTAAAAATTAGATTTCTATTCTCTTAAAAAACAAAAAACAAAACAAACAAACAAAAAAAAAAACCTGCCAGATGTAAAGTTTCTCCTTGGGACAGCAAATGTGTTTGTATATTACTCTACAGTATAGGAATGTTCAAACTGCAAGGAAGTGTTCCTCATTTAGCAGCAGGAGCACAGACAACAGACCCTTCAAAGGACAATACCTGTGTAAAACGCAATCGTTCTGTTCTCTGTACAGCACTTAACAAAATAGGGTTCTGTTCCCTTACCAGTGCTAACCAAATCCCTGGTTTAAGCTGTCTTAATACATGTGATAGTAATTGAAAAAGACCTTTTAGAGTTTCAGAACAGAAGCAGCAGGCAGTGAAATGTAGCATCTGGTGCAGCACTCTTTCTGGGGGTGGTTGGAGGTGTAAAACCCAACTTGAGTTATTGTTAAATTGATACAAATGACTTAAGGATTTTAAAAGTATTTTTATCCATTATATCTTTTTTTTGCCACCTTTTAAAAAATGTTTTTATCCAAAGCATTTCATCTTCTCTGATGTTGGGAAAACTGAAGAACTCTGTAAGCTAAACTGGAATTCTGTTGTAAGCTTCTGACAATTTTGAATTTCTTCAGTCCTTGTTCTGTTCACTAAATACAAATTAGAACACTTAGCCACAAGTGATCTTTCAAGGTGTTATTATCTAGCTCTGAGATACTTTGAAGAGATATATTTCCCCTTCCTCCGCCCTAGTCCCGGTTTAACAAGCTGCCTCCCCATAAGCTCAAAAATTAGTGATTTATTCAGAATCACTTCTTATCGCCAAATATAGTTTTAAAATATAGTTTTAAATTTAGTTGAGTGTAGCCTCCTTATTTGGGGGGAGGGTAGCAGACATTCTGCTCTGTGCAGCAATCTGTCGTGTTTGTTGTAGTGCGTAAGTACAAAGTTAAAAGAACAGAAGTTTCTGTGTATAACCACATGCCTTATTGATGTTCGGTTTATTACAGTAATGCTGCAAGAAGGAATTGGCACTCATCTAGCATGGAACTATGTCATACTGATACTGCTTCATAGCATCAATTCAAGTGAGTTTTCAAGGTGAAAAGTGATTTCATGGAAGCAAGTAACATGCCTATGATCTTGTTGTCTTGGCAATGATTGGAAAATACTGAAGAGCGTGATAAAGTTAGGTACTCTAGGTGGGATTGGTCAGAGTCTGTCACTTAAATACAGCAAATGATTTTTCGAAAACTGTCGTTTCCATTTCTGTTTATACCTGTGAGAAATGTGCTGCTTGTTTCATCCTTGGTAATACACCTGTCTCGCTTTAATTTGTTTATTGATTTTTTTTTCCCACTTACACTACATTTTCCAAGATACAGTTGTTGTTCGTGTAACCTGTTGAGATCTGATATTTGCTTACTGCAGCAGGTGGCTCAAAATAGTTAATGATTATTTTTGTTAAGCTGCTAACTTCATTCAAATGAAGTTAAATGTCATCTGAAATGTGCTTAAAGTATCAGCCCACACATTAAGCTTGCTATTAATCCTTCATGCTTTGAGAACCCACATCTGAGACATTTTCTTCTTGAAAAGCTATCAAATCGCTGCAAAACTCATTGTAAAATGCTTTTGCAATACCTAGATGAGTAAGCCATTCTGTTCACAAATAAGCTAAAACATTTTTAATAGGTATGCATGTATGAAATCTAATATAGATACAAATGTCATTGGCAGTGTCTATTATATGGTTTGTCTCTTTAAACCAAGTTTGATATGGCTTAATAAGATGAGGGAGTAGTAAGAAAGACAACTGTGGTCATCTTTTCTGGTGTTACTTATCAAACTGATTGCCAGATACCTCATTGCATGAACTTCCTAGGAAGTTATTACAAAACTTTGTTTGAAACCTGAATTCCTTTAAAATTTCTAACTTGATCACCAAGGCTGATGGAGAAACTGATGTATCTGCTAATGTGAACTTTGTTGGTCAGTTTCCTGTTACATGTTCATCTCAGTCCCTTTTTTGATGTGAATTCAGTTATGCCTATGATACTTCTTTTCCCAAGGCTGTCACATGGCACTGGAAATGTAAATTGTGCACCAAGACAGTGCGTTTATGTACTTGGAACTAGTGGTGCTCCTCACTTGAGAATAACTCCAAAAAACAAGCAAACAAAAAACCCTTAAGTTATTTGAATACATTAGGTTTTGGTTAGGCCATGGTCTTATAAGGCACTGTAGAACTGTGAAATGCCTTTCAATAAACTGTCACTGAAAGCTCTTAAAGTTCTGATGACTTAAGTTTCCCCTGTGGGGGGAGGAGGGGAGGGAAAGGCAAGCAAATAGTAATTCTGAGTTTCTTCCACACTGTAAAATAGTTGATTTCCAGTAAGGTCCCACTGTGACTTGTACTTCTGCTTTGATGAAAAAAAGGTAGAGTGAGACAAAAAGGCTTATTGATAATACTTTCCTCAAAGCAGTATAGTTGTAAGGTGATTGAGAAGTCTTGAAATCTTTCAATGATGAGCTCGGAACCACTGAGGTAACAGGAGAAGGCAGAGAGAAACTAGGTGAAAATGCTTAGAAGTAATTAAGGAGTTATCCATGAAGAAGGTGGCAGGACCAGCTTCCCGGTTGAAGTGCCTCTACAGCAACACATGCAGCTTAAACAGGAAGCCACCGTACTACTAGAAAACCATGGCATAGTTGCTGTCACTGAATCCTGGTAGGGTGATTCCCATGACTGTGGTGTGGTTATCAATGGCTACAAGCTATTCGGAAGAGACAAGGGAAGGAAGGGGGAAGGAGGCATTGCCCCCTACCTACATCAGGGAGAGAATAGAGTGTGAAGAGTTGTCCCTGAAGAATGGCCATGAGCAAGTCAAAAGACTTAGGCAACAAAGGGAGCTTTGTGTTTGGGGTCTGCTTCAGGCCACCTCATGCAGCAGAGCCTGTTGAAGCCTTATACCTCCAGCCACAGGAGTTGTTGCAATGACAGGCTCTTTTCTTGCTGGGGGACTTCAACTGCAGTTGATGTTGTGGATGGAAAACACTTGTAGGCGAAAAGCTAGGTTATTTTTATTGATTATAATATGGGTACAGTATAGTGATTTAATAAAGCTTAATTGTAGCTAAGGCAGCAACTTAACAAGATTTGAGATGGTTGTATGCACTTGGTTATTTGCTGCATAGAGAGTAAGGTTAAAAATGCACGTACAGGAAGCCCTCTCACTGAGTCATGAGGTTCAGAGTTGACCCCCTTCCTTTCTGAACTCCTTGAAACACAGAGATAAAGAGCCACAGTGCAGCTGAATCCCCTCCTAGTCCCAGACTTGGTCAGCGGTTTATGTTGGGCTTGTATGTGTACAAACAATCTAAGATAGAATCTTTGTGAGGCTAACAAAGCTTACAGTCAAAGATGTAATCAATCTTAGTGAGGCTAACAGTCTTAAACAATTGGTCACTTACCAAGGATCTGTATCCTTAAGGTGTCTTGATATCAAGGTGTAAGGGATCTCTGCGCAGGTGTAACCTCAAGAGGTGTCCCTACTCCAGCAGAATTCTGGTCAGACATGCAGGGGAGCTCAAAGGGGCTCTTGTACTTCTCACTGTTTGTGGGGTAAGATGTTTGATTCATAGGTTGCTTTTTAGGCATGTGCTCAATTGGTCTTCAGCTGTTGTACCAGGGGTCTGCTATCAGTTCTTTCAGTCTCTAGTTTGAGACAGAATGATGGTTATTGATCTGTTTCAGCAAGAGTGTTACGAGTACTGCTGTTCATTTTCTTCCTGTACAGGGCCTTGTGAGCAAAGTCAGGTTGAAGAATGGAACAGAGGGACAAAGACAGGCAGAGAAGTGGTGAGCAGGGGGAGCCCACTGTCACAGTAATGGAGTTCACACTCCTAAGGGATACGAGACAGACAAAATCAGGACACTACACTTTAGGAATGCCAGTTTCTGCTCTTCAGGGAATGAGTCAACAGAGCTCCCTGGGAATCTGTCACCAAGGACAAGGGAGCAGAACACAGGTGGTGGGTCTCTAAGGAAGTTTTTCTTAGAAGAGCTCTCCTTCTCTGAAAGTAAGAATTCTGGGAAGAAAGGCAAGAGACCAGCACAGCTAAACTGGGAGTGGCTGGTCAGACTGAAGAGAAAGAAGATTTTTCTCAGGTAGTGGAAGAAGGGACAGGTACCCTGTAAAGAGTATAGGGGTCTATGAGTCCTGGTGAGATGCATCCCTGAGAGAATTGGCTGACATAGTCACAAAGACATTCACAATGATATTTGAGAAGTCATGAAAGTCCTGTGAAGGCCTTGGTTACTGGAAAAAAGGCAATGTCATATCCTTTTTTAAGAAGAGTAGAAAGGAATATTTGAGAACTACCAACCTGTCAGCATCACCTCAGTGCTGGGGAAGCAGATCCTCCTGGAAGCTATGCTAAGGCACATGAGGATGTCTTCATCAAGGCAGGTCCTGCCTGACCAATCTTTTGGCTTCTACAATGGTGTAACTGTGTCAGTGGGCAAGGGAAGAGCCACTGATGTCATCTATCTGGACTTCAGTAAGGCCTTTGACAGAGTCCCTCCACAATATCCTTCTCTTCAAATCAGAAAGATATGGATTGTTTGATGGGTGAGGAACTATTTGTGAGATCATACCTAGAGGGTGGTGGTCAGTGGTTCAATGTCCAGATGAAGATAAGTGATATCCCTAAAGAGTCAGTACTGGGACCAGTGCTCTTTAACGTCTTCGTCAGTGACATTGATGGTGAGATCAAGTGCACCCTCAGCAAGTTCGCAAATGACACCAACCTGTGTGGTGCTGTCAACATGCCTGAGGGATGGGATGTCATCTTGAGGGACTTAGGCTGAGCGGTCCAGAAGAACCTCAAGAGGTTCAACAAAGCCAAGTGCAAAGTCTGGCACCTGGGTTGTGGCAACACCCATTACCAGGACAAGCTGAGAGATGTAAGGATAGAGCACAGCCCTGCCAAAAAGGAGCTGGGATACTGGTGGATGGCAGCTGGAATGAGCCAGCACTGTGCCCTCACAGCACAGAAAGCCAACCGGATCCTGGGAGCATCCAAAGCAGCACAGCCAGCAGGGCGAGGAGGGGATCTGCCCTTCTGCTCTGTGCTGTGAGACCTCAGCTGGAGCGCTGCGTCCAGATGGGGAGTGCTCAGCACAGGAGAGACACGGAGCTGTTGGAGCATCCAGAGGAGGGCCACAGAAATGATCTGAGGGATGGAACACCTCCCTGCGAGGACAGGCTGAGAGCTGGGGTGTGCAGCATGGAGAAGGGAAGGCTGTGGGCAGAGCTGAGAGCGGCTGGTCAGTATCTAAAGGAGAACTACAGACTCCTTAGCATGGTCTGTGGTGAAAGAAGAAGGGGAAATTGTTTCCAACTAAAAGGGGAAATTTAGATTGGGTATAAGCAGCAGTTCTGTTTGCATACATAAGACAAACACAGCTGTAATACAGAATTTTCATTTAACCTGCACATTTTATGTGAACAGTAGTGCTTTCCCTCTTTTCATTTTCCATGTGAGTTCACTCCTTTATTTTGATTTCATAGTTTTAATTTTTTACTCATTGTGGTTCATGAAGCAGTTTGATGTAATATAGTTGAATGCAATGGAAAGACATCTATGCTTAACCTTACTAGCCATCAGCAGTCATAATTCATAGTGACTATAAATGCCTTCATAATAAAAGATAATCAGTATGAAAATGTCATTCAATTTAATTAATTATGGATATTTTGATGGTAATGAGCTAATCATTATGAGCTTTCAGGTTTTACATCACCAACTGATCATGCTTTGGAAAAAAATGAAGTGGCAGCCAGCAAATTTATCACAAAACTGAAAGATGCATCTGAAGCTCTTTTAAACTTCTTCAGGCCAGTGAGTAAGTGCCACTTCATTATTGCAGCACTATTTCTTTCCTCTTCTTCCACCTTACTTTTAGTACAGCTTTTCACGCCTTAACTGTTGGCGCTCAGTCTATTTAAAACCCTCAGTCTGATACTGTAAAATTCACTAGTTCTCATCAAAAATAGATTGTTAAATGTGCTGTTTGAACCATCACAAGTTTGCTTCAATTACATTACTTCTGTTTTATAAAACTATCCATCATCAATGAGCTGACCTAGAAACGCTGGACAATTTGATGTAGAATTCACCTTCCCATACTTTCTTGTATCCATTTTGAGATAGTTTTCTAGTCTGCTTGTGTAAGCATGTTTTGCTCAGTAGTAGTCACTCTCATTTCTACTAGCTAAGGAAGGATTTGAGGCCATTAAATAAGACGTCTCTTGAACTGCTGAAATTAATTGATGAGATGTGCGTTAGTTCCAGAAAACTACTGAGAAAGAAATCAAAATAGAATGTATTTGCTAATAGCAATAAGAAAGATAAAATCCATGAAATGTGGAAAGTGCACAGCACGTACAAAATTTGCAAGCCTGATTCCAGAATTGGTTTATTGACAAATATGAGGCAAATATCACTCATCACTTAATACATAAATGCTTAGTAATAACAATGAAGGTCTTGATGATATTCTGCCTCACCCTAAATGAACACTGAGGTCTTGCGAAGTCCCTGACCTCACATTTAATATAACTGAATTTGACTAGCAATAATGAATGTGATAAAGGTGAAACTGACAGTGCAGCCTATCTTGGGAGAGGCAGAACCAAATGATGTTTTGTAGCTTCTGTGAAAGTTTCACATGAAGGATACTAAGTTTTATAGAAATTAAATCACAGACTATATGTCAGATATCTACAGTTTATACGCCATTTATACGTAACAGTGCTTCCCAGGGAAGGTCTTATGGTTATCCGTAAATCTATTTTTAAATAGCAAATTTTAAATTTTACATGTTGTGTTCATTAACTGACTGGGTATCTTAGGTCTTTGCTCATATCAGCTGCTTGTAGAATCATGCAATTAGTTGAATGGAAATGGTTTATTGCAATACACTGTATAATCAACCCTTCAAAAAAACTAAGATATTTTAATGTTTCTATTTGTTTGATTTGTTTTTTTTTTTCTTAATTAGAAACAGTGCACTCAGGAAACTTAGTGTCTTTCAGCTTTAGAAACATGAATTAAAAATGTTTTTTAATTCAGTTTTTTAAATGTTTTTTACTGTAAGAAAGCCAATTACTTAAGATCTCATATGACATGATTGTAGGTTTTCTCTTGACTTTATTTTAAAGACTGATTAATTTTTGTGGAAGAATTCTACATGAAAGTCAATGACACTGCTTTTAAACAGACTTCCTCAAAACATTTTCATGCTAGGAGCATGAAAATAATAGCCTCTCTTTATCTAGGTGTTGCTTCTAGAACAGAAATTCTTACATTTTACTACTTTTTTTTAAAGCTTGCCGATACAAAGAAAAGCACTCCTTAGTCCCTTGTCATGTAGGAGGGAGCATTAATGCAACAAAGTGCTTGGAAAATAGATGTTGTCCTTCCAAAGGCAGCGATGAACTGAAATGTTATATCCCATTGAAAGACAGTAAGTATTCTTCTGTAAATTTTTGCTTCATAGCCAAGTGCTTTTCCTGGTAAGACAATGTGATTTTTCATTTTTGTTCTCTCTTTGGTTTTTTGGGTCACCATTCTCTTTGAAGCAAGCTTAAGTGGGCATTTATTTCTGCATAGAAATACAGAAATTGTCTGGGTAGCTTGTAAATCTCAGCACAAAGGATATATGATGAAATACAAATAAAAGTAGCTACGTCAGCTAGTACAAAGAATAGAGGGAAGGCTCTCTCTGTGGAAGTGGAAGGGTGGTGAGTTTAATACAAAGAAGTGAATCTGTGAAAGTGCTGTAAAGAGAAGTTGAAGAAATTGGATGTATTTGTTGAGAAGGAGGTTAAATGGTTATTAAATAGCCATAGAAATCTGTTTGAAGGGTGGTTATTAAGACAAGAAAGCCAAACTGTTTGGTAGGACTGAATGATGTGACAGGAAATTGCAACTCATTGATGCTTGAGAAATTCAGCTTGGATATTGGGAAACAAAACTTCATTAGAACAGTAGTGAACCTCTTGAACACGTGTCACAGAGTGATCTCTAGATCTGTGTCTGTGACAGGGGGACAGCAGGCCCACTGTCCCGAAAAGGGAGGGGGTGTCCATAATTTACAGGCTGGTTACGTGAGTAATGGGGCAGGGGACCCACAGACCCATGCCCTGGGAAAAGGGGGGGGAGGGTAGGGAGATGGCCCTAAAAACAGGACAGCGGCAACAATCTGAGGAGGAAAGTTAATTTACTGCGTATGATATCGGAATGCAAGATAGCACAATATAATACAATGTGTAACTAGAATTGAGGCTATTAAATGAAATAGATTGAGAGAGAGTGTCCAAAACTGAAGGCCTCACTCTGAATTGAAGGCAAAACAGCTGGGAATCACACCCACACACTGCCAGGCAGAGAGACAGAGAGAGGGTCTCATGACTTGCCAGGAGCTTTATCTTTCTTTCTAAGTGTAAAGTCCTCTGGGGAATGTAGTTCTCTTCTACAGGTATTCAGAAAATGAGTGGTTCACAGAAGTGGGGCATTAACTCTTCGACTCCCCGTGCTTTACATGATGTTATGGTGGATTACCAATAACAAAAATCATAAAACCATGACAAGAAGTCATGAGAAAAGAGATGGTATCACCCTTAGTGAGTTTTATGACATGGCCATACAAAGACACAGGTTATTTCACGTAATGCTGATAGTAACATTGCTTCAAGCAGAAGACTGGGCTTCAGGATGTGCAGAAATCCCTTACTACTAAAATTTTTGATAATTGTCTTTTCAAATTCTACCTTTAACATAACGAACCTAACGTTATACCTTTATTATTTTCTTTAAACATAGACTTGGAGTGCATGATATTTTTTTCCTCTTATGAGAGAATTCAGCGATCTTGTTTTATATCACATTTATATCACGCAGCTTCACTAAAAGGGTTGAAACAAATCTTAATTTTTATCATATTTTTCCCTGTTTGTATAGCATTTAGAAAGAGTTGTTGCTTTTCATTGTGAATTTCCTTCAACAAACTGAAAGATGTACAAAGTTGAAGGCTCTTCTTAGACTCCATCAGTGAGTTTGGAACAGATCCATCGAGATCATGTAATCCCATCACTTCCTGCTCAAGTGGGGTCAGCTAGAGGAGCAGGTTTCCTAGGACAAGTTTTGAATATATGTCCAAGGATAGAGACAGCACAACCCCTCTGGGCAAATCATTCCAGTCTGTAGCATTAGAATGCAGTTACCTTTTAAGAACAATGTCAAATATCAGAATGGTATTTGCAGACTTGTCGTAGATTTGAATAGAAACAGAGCCAAATGTTATCTTAATTTTTCCAACATAGTATTTCCTTTTATGTTGTATTTTTACTCGCTGACAATTTAACAGGAAGACTTCTCAGACAGAGACAATATTGCCAAATGAGTTAGTATGTTAGTACAAGCTACTAAAAAGGAAACCAGGACATAGCGTTTAATGGCTTAGGTATTCTTGATAGAATTCATCATACATTGATTTTGGAGATTATATTCATTTTCTGGAGCTGACTTAATATACTTATGAAACCTGAGAAAATACTTGTGAGCTAACAAGAATTAACTTTTTTGCTTGATGTATTTGCTCAAAAGCAAACAGGGATCAGAACCAAACTTGGAATATTTTCCTGTAGTTGAGCAACACCACGTTCCTGTGCTATGGCAGCCATAAATATTATGCTACTTTTGATAGAAAAAAAGCTACTGTTGAATGCAAGGCCACCAGACTCTGTTAGGAGCATAATGCAGAAGTCAAGTGTCTTAAGAATATTATTCCCTAGTTGTGCTTCCTTAATACATATAGAAGACACATGACTATAGTGAGAAGAAAAGCTATACAGTGAAAACTCTAGATGTTTTGCACATATTTAGGACATATACTTAACATATTAAAATTAGATATTCTTATTAAACCATGACTGCTTGATTCCTTCTATGGTTTGGAAGAAAATTTCAAAAATGGACTATTTTATCAAATTATTTGTAGCTAGCTACTTGAATGTTCCAGAATATACAACATATGTCCAAAGGAAACATCAGCATTTACTGCCTGGGAGTATATGCTGTTTGCCTTGTAGCAATTGTTGAAGAAGAAGCACTTAACAGACATTAGACTCATGACACTTGCATTTCTGTTTTATGGTCATAGGCTGCACACTTGAATGGATCTCATCTGAGAGTTTTGTCTTTAACTTCAGTAGGAATAAAATAAAGCTTATAGAAGACGTTACAAAAGTTTTGAACTGAAATAGATAAATAGCATTAATTTTCATGATTTTGTTTCCATTTTTAGGAAGCTCTATAGGACTGCATATACATCTGTGTACGACTCGTTTGATAAAGGACTAAAATTTTTCACACGATGAGATTACTCAAGTAATTATTTTTGAAACTAACCAAATGTTTGAGAGTGTTTGAAATCCAGTGGTCAAATTTGACTTGATCTTTCTAATCTACATGCTTTTTTAGGATTTGTCCTTTTCCTGTTGTGTTGATGACCAAAATACAGGCATGTCTGTCTTCAAGGCTAATCTCTGTCATCTGTACTTCAACATATATCTTGGGCTTGTTTGTAACTAATACAAACTTCCACTGGTCCTACAGATCTGCAACTGACATTTCGACTGTTTCTGCTTGGGGCGGTAGGATTTTTAATTTTGGGTTGTCTACCATTATTTTGCTGTGCCTGCTTCCAGAGGAGGTAAGAATTAGTACACAAACAACTAGTTTTACAATATACTGCTACTAAATTTCAAGGATATGGACAGCTGACATACTTAAAGCCAGTGAGCAGAGAAAAGACTGGGGGAAAATAAGCTGAAAAAGTGATATGACATCATGAAAAATAAATCCTTTTATTTTGGAGCTACATAGTCAATTTGACTTCAGAGAAAAAATAAAATAAAATAGTGTGTTAATGCTCCAGCAGCCATTCTAAAGACATTCTAAAGAACTGATCTTAGTCCTACTTCCCCTAACGGTGAAAGTGCATGTAGATCATGTGGGCTCACCGGCTGCAGGTTAGCAGTCTCCACATAAAGACCTCCACATAAAGTCTCCACATAAAGACCTGAATGGAATTTGAACAGTAGTGACTGAATTTGAGTTCAGCTCTGTGGGAACTGGATCCTGTCTTGGGCAGGTTTGCTGGCACATGGAAGACCAGACTTTTGTTCCCTCACTTCTCCCATTCTCTTCCCATTAACACCATCGCCTCCTTTCCACACCTGCTTCCTACCACAGGCCAGACCTGCCTTCGTATCATATCCATATATGTTAAAACAACTTGGTTCATCTCCTTTTAAGCAGGAAGGGAAAATCAACAGCTGCCAGTTGGGAGCAAAAAAGGTAGGGAAGGAGACTCTGAGAGCAAACAAATCTTTAGGGCATGATGCTACATACAGACCGTCCTGTTCTGTCCAAAATAAGATTTTAGGACACAGTGATCTCAGTGCATGGGAAATCAAGAATATCAGTTAAAAAAAAAAAAAAAAAAAAAAAAAAAAAAAAAGTAAAAAAAGAAAAAGAAAAAAGGAAGATTTGAGAGAAGTTTGTCTTACAAGTTTAAAACAAACAAATGCAATTTTTTTTTTTTTTTTTTTTTTTTTGCCATTTGCTTTCTCTCTAAGCCATGGGAAAATTGGAGAAAAAATTGTTCTTTTACCATTACCTTCAAATTATTTCTACAAGCATGACATTGCTTATGAGAACTAATCGACTGCTACACAGAAAGTGGCATGTGCAAGTGGGAATTAATTGTCTGAAAGATGATATGGAAGAAATGAATGAGCAAAGGCAAGTTGAAAGGATCAAGAAGTAGAAATGAGTTTTTGTAAGGCCTAAACATAGAATTATGCAGTATAGGATGGAATAACATGCTGGAAGAACAAAGTAGTAGGCCTTAGGAGAGTAGAAGAGAAGGAGAAAGAGTATACTTCAGAGAGAAGGAAATAAATTATTTGAATGCTGCTAACGTATAACAATTTTTTTTGTTGCTTTGCGTCTTTTTTTTATGGTAGCTCTTTTTAGTGGGTTTTTCCCACTGAATGTATAGAACATATTATAGCCCATGTGTGCTTTGTAATCAGTTCAGTGTTTGATATTGCAAAGAGTTTTGACATGAGTATGCATTCTTATAATAATTGGGAAAATGTAAGCTGTACAGTATTGAAATGGTTAAACTAAGATGGAGCATATTGACATAATTGGGCTTTATTTCACTAAGGTGGTGGTTCATATAGCATGGTTAATACTACAGCTTAGTTAATGTAACATAATTGTCTTTCTCTGTGTAGGTTTTTTTCTGAAGTTTTTAATTTTTCCTTTATTAAGATATTAGTAGACTGTGAGATTATATACATGCATGTACACACACATAGACTCTAGAAATGTGACTGTTTAGCAGATGGCTGTTTGCTATGGTGTGCCACATTTAGACAAAACCTGCTGTGAAAATCTCCACATTACATCTTATTCTATGCTCAACAGCTGATGTTGAGCATACAGATAGCTACACTGAGTCATCAGTGACATGGAAAACAGGAGGCAAAGCATTAACATGAAATTATCATATATTTTCTGGAAAATGAATTAATATGTATTCATTTTGAGATAATTCACATTAATGTTTAAATGATCTTCTTTGTGGTTTTTTCATAGCCAATGAAACTAGAATTGCTGTTCTGCTATGGCTTGTTTATTGTTGCTTTTTTCTTTTTTTCATGTAGTGATTAACCAGATGCTAAATGGTTTTAATTTCCAACATCACACATTTCAGTTCTAAGGAAAAAGCAATCCTATAATATATTAACTTTGATCAGATTTTACTAGTTTTAGAAACTGTTGCTAGAGGATATGGCTTCAAAACTCATTCCTTTAAAAAGTCTGAAACCTTCTATTTTCATTGGAAATTCTTGTTCTCATTAACAGTGCTATTTGGTAAGTGTTGAGAGGCTCCCATGCACAATACAAAAGGACATGCACAGAAGTAAAACGTTGTTCTCTAGATTGACCCAAAAAATAAGAGAGCTTTCTCTGATGAAATTTGGGATAATTGATTAATTCCATTATGCTTCTTGTAGAGCAAATTCTAAGGTTTCCCATAGGAACCTGCATTTATTTATTTTAAGAGAAAGAAAGACTCCAAACTTGAGTAGCTCTATGTGGAAGCTTTTGCAGGCATTTGTGCTGTGTAGAGGTGGCTGTTTCCCTACAGATGCTGAGGTCAAGACATGATCAGGCTGAGAGAACCTATACATAGGAGCATGGAATTCCTGTAAAATTTATTAAGGAAGCTGCTAGTTTTCAGAGGTTGAGTTACAGCAGTCAAGTTATGTTGCTCAGGTTAGTCTCAATACTCCTCCACAGCACGAGTAAGTTCCGAAATCAGCAAGGCTGAGTTATCACGTCTAACTGGTGACCTGTGCATTTTGCCTTCTTCATAGGATATTTTCTAGGCAGGAAGCAATATCTAAATGAGTTGATGCTGCCTGTTCCTTCACAGTTCCTTGTGTGTGTTATCAGCACAATGTCTCTTTTCTTGAGATGTTCTCTGATTTTGTAATCCCCATACCTGTCTTATCCTATCTTCTTTCTCTGCTTTTTTTTTGTCTTTTTTTCACTAACAGTCACAAGCCATGATGGGCAGAATAAGACTCTAAAGAATAGGAGAACAGAGGTGCACTTACTGATGCCGTACTTCAACAATGTTGTGTAGGTTTTAAATAAAAATCAGTAAAATCTCAGTTTTGTTCTGTTGAATTTTTAGTGCAGTTATGGGAAGTAGGCCTTCAATTTCAGTTGACCAATTACTGGGAATTTCTGGTAATGGTGGCAATTTGACGAATCAATCAGCTGGTCAACTGAAATTCATGAAGAAAAGGTAAGAGATTGATGAAATGTTATGGCCCCTGAAATCAGTAGTATCTTTGAATTCTCTGGAGCTAGGCTTTTGCAGCTAAAGCCTAGGTGATCTGGTCTCAATTCCTTCTGTTGTTTCAATTTGTTGCAGTAAATGTGTCAATCCTTTACGAAGAGCCAACAAAAAAATAGAACAAATTGTGCGGAACAAGAGAGCAAGTAGTGAAGAAATGCGTAGCTTGTTACCAAATTGACTTAAAGACTTTGAGGATCGTAAAAATGAGAGAAAGGTAAACTAAATTTAGAACATTCTTTTGTTCTTTCAGTTTAGCATTATCTTACTGTTGATTTTATATAGAGTATTAGACATAAGCAATATTAAATTCCTTTTGTCTTCCCAGTCAGTAGATTTTGTCACAAAAGCACTTTTTGTCACAAGCCACTTAAATTCCTTTTGTCTTCCCAGTCAGTAGATTTTGTCACAAAAGCACTTTTTGTCACAAGCCACCTTTAGCTTCTGCTGTGGGACAAATAATGAATCTGCCAGAATTTGATTCCTGTCCTGGGATGCTAAATGAGAGCAGAGCAAGCGCTGGTGAGGCTCTGGTAGTGCTGCCCAGAGCTGTGGGTTTCCATCTGTGCAGGTGCCCAAGGCCAGGCTGGTTGGGCCCTGGGCAGCCAGCACATGGTGGGGCTGGGGGACTGTGAAGTCCTTTCCAACGCAAACCATTCAGTGATTCAATGAATATTGCAGTCCTAGGCTTAAATCTCTGCCATTTTTGTGTCCCTTATCCCATGTGTAAATTGGGTTACATGGGAGAACAGAGAAGAAAAGTAAGGTTTTTGCTGCTTGCAGGAAACAAGGGGCTATTTTCAGTCACTGAGAAATCTTTTCTGTTCTATGGAAAAGGGTATTTTATACTGGTATTTTCACATAGCTTCAAATCCTACTCTTTTTCCTGAACACTGAAATGCATGTAATCTAGGCATTAAATGCTATTTACTTTGCCAAACTGTAGCATTCTAAAGGTGACAATGACATAATAACCTCACTGATATATTTATTTATTAGACAACAAAGAAGTACTTCAGTGAGAGTATTGATATACCAAATTTGCAAAGATGTCCCTTAATCAAGTTATACTGACACGTAGGTTTTTTCTTTTTTTCTTCTCTTTTGGTGTAGAGGACCATCCATGTAATAATGTTAATGAACTCAAGCAGGAGGAAGACACCAGGATTATGCGCTAACCATGAGTATGCTCTAGAAAATGAGATGATTTGTTTTAGCATCAAAGTAATACACTGTTGTCAAACCCTTGATAATGTTATTGATTTTGCATTAGAAATTGTTCATTTCTGTTTCTTTGTACTCATTCCATATCTCCTTTATGGGGAGGAAAAAAAAAAAAAAAGGCAATGCAGAAAGGGAAAATGTGCTCATTCCAGCTCCTGAATGCTAAAACCACTCTAGGTACTAGTAAAGCATCTTCACAATTCAGAGGTCAGCCTTTGAGTACTATCTGAATTAAGAAGTGATAGAAGAGGTGGTTGACATTCATTAAATTGGTGCTGAGTGGCAAGCTTACTATTTTCGGGGAGTGGACACCACTGTAGCACAGCAGTGCTATTCCTACTGAGACCACAATTAATTCTTTACCTGGCTGCAAAGGATTTAGGAAATGTATTGTTGGGCAGTTCCTTTAAAGACAACATGCTTAGGCAAAGAACTTCAGGAAACTAGTAGCATTTCTTCTGCTGTTGTTTCTGTTCATGGTATATCACTGCACCATAGAACTTCCTTAGATCTTGAGGAGACCTGTCTCCCAAGGCAGGTGATACCAGAATGTAATTTCATTCAGTTTCCCTGAAGAGTAACGCAGAATAAGAAATGAACGTGTAATAGTTTTGAACAGCAGAGTACAAAGTTAAAATAGGCACCTAAAAAAAAAAAAAAAAAGTCAGTAGAAATCAATTTCCCAATAGTAAAGCAACCAGTGGCCCTTTTACCTTGTGTCTGTGAAATACATGTAGTAGAATTTCCAAGAATGGTGGTAAATGATTCTTTACTGTTTACCTGAAAAATAAAGACAATAGCCTTTATCAGAATAGTGATACTTTGAAATTGAATACTCCTCGGATTACCCAGTTTATACATTTTTCTTAGTTTTCCTAGTTCTAAAAAAGACATCTCTTAAAGCCCAAGTGTAATAGAGTTGAAGTACATATATGGGCAGTCTCATGAAACTGACAGAGCATAAAGCCATCACAAAAAATTAGCATATGCAGAAGTTTTAAAACTTGATATAGCAACCATTGCCAGTAGCACTGTATTAGAGATGGGTGGGATATAATTTTGTAAGAAAAAGAACTGCAGTATTTTTGATGTTGAGCAGCAGAAAGATGGAGACTAGTGTTCAGTTTGCCTTCCAAATCTGATCTGTTTACTGCTTCTTGATGTTATTTTTATGTGTTCTGAAATATGTCTGCAAACATTTTGACAAAAGTAGAAACAATTTCCTGCTTCTTGGATTTAGGGGCACTGTTGCAACTGTGCATGCAACAAACACATACATTCTCCTGGGTGAAGGTAGTTATGAGAGAGAGCTGTGCTCCCGAGTAAGTTTGACTTGATACTTCATGATTTTGATTTGAAGGGTGATAAATTCCTTTGTTTACATGTCATTGACAGCACAAATGGTTTCGATGTCACAGAACATTCTGACAAATGGACACGTACTGATAAAACAAATGTATTTAACTGAAAGCATTCAATGCATCTGCAGTAAATGTATCCTGCAGAATAAAATGAACATAAACAAAATATATGCACTGTAAGAGTAGGATACGAGATGGAAAAGACTTAGCAATGCTTATATTCCCTGTTGGAGTGGTACTTAAGAGCACCTCATGTGGAATTGGGTCCTGTCCCTTTCATATGTGGCAGTTCCATTATAAGGATGTTCTTAAAAGCTGAGAAGGATTTTGCTTGGAGGAGGCAAAAACTTTGATTTTAGATTGTAATTTCTATATCAGGTGTAATTTCTATACCAGTTTGAGAATTAATTGAATTGGCAGATGTTCTGCATGGATATTGCAGAATTAACTGCTATTTCTGCCTAAAATGGTGTGTGTGTGTGTGTGTTTTTCCAGCCCAGGAAGGCTGGGAATACTTTAAGGAAGTAATTTTAAAGGTGCAGGAGCTGACAATCCCTAAGTCACAGAAGATGAGCCAACGGGCAAGGAAGCCGGACTGGCTGAACAGAGACCTTTGATTGGAACTCAAGAGCAAAAGGAAAGTCTGTGGTCTCTGGAAGAGTGGGCAAGCTACTTTTGATGATTACAAGTATGTATTGAAGCTGTGCAGGAAGAAAATTATAAAAGTCAAAGCCCAGCCAGAACTGAGGTAAAGGACAATAATAAATATTTCTTTAAATACATCAGTAGCAAGAGGAGGGCTAGGGAGAATCTCCATCCCTTCCTGGATGTGGAGGGCAACTTGATGACCAAGGATCAGGATAAGGCTGAGGTACTTAATGCCTTCTTTGCCTCAGCCTTTAGCAGTAAGACTAGCTACTCCCTGGGCACATATCTACCAGTGCACGGGGCTAGGGATGGGGAACAGAATAGGCCTGCATGATCCATGATGAGATGGTTTTGGTCCTGTTCCCAAAGCTGGATGCTCACAAGTCCAAGGGGCCGGATGAATTGCACCCTGGAGCACTGATTGTAGTTTGGAAAAGTGGCTGGAAAGCTGCCTGATGGAAAGGGACCTCGGTGTACAGATGGACAGTTGGCTGAATATGAGCCAGCACTGTGCCCAGGTGACCAAGAAGCCCAATGCATCCTGGCTTGGATCAGCAATGCTGTGGTGAGCAGGACCAGGGAAGTCATCCTGCCCCTGTGCTCGGCCCTGGTGAGGCCTCACCTCGAGTGCTGTGTTCAGTTTTGGGCACCTCAGTACAGAAAGGACACGGAGGTGCTGGAGCAGGTCCAAAGAAGGGCAGCAAGGCTGGTGAAGGGCTTGGAGAATATGGCCTACGAGGAGAGACTGAAGGAACTGAGGCTGTTCAGTCTGGGGAAGAGGAGGCTGAGGGGAGACCTTACTGCTCTCTTCTGATACCTGAAAGGTGATTGCAGTGAGAGCGGGGTTGGTCTCTTCTCACTGGTGACAGGATGAGGAGAAATGGCCTTAAGTTGCACTAGGATAAGTTCAGGTTGGATATCAGGACAAACTTCTTTACAGAAAGGGTTGTGAAGCACTGGAATGGGCTCCCCAGGGAGGTGGTTGAGTCACCATCCCTGGGTGTGTTTAAAAACTGTTTGGATGTGGTGCTCAGGGACATGATTTAGTGGAGGGTTGTTAGAGTTCAGGTAGTGTGGTTAGGTTGTGGTTGGACTCGATCTTTAAGGTCTTTTCCAACCTGAGCAATTCTATGATTCCACATTCTGCTAGAATCATAAAAATCACAGAATATGATTCTGTGGAATAATATAGAATAAGAAAATATAGAATCATAGAATTCTATTCTGTTAGAATCATAGAATCTGATTCTATAGAATAATATATACATAATATAGAATTGTAGAATTGCTCAGGTTGGAAAAGACCTTAAAGATCATCGAGTCCAACCACAACCTAACCACACTACCTGAACTCTAACAACCCTCTGCTAAATCATGTCAGGATTATCACCTTAAGGGCACTTCACAAATACTCATTTACAGGCCAACTGCACTGATATCATCACATACAAGTGGATGTTTTCATTATGTTCAGAATTTCAGAAATTAAAATTTCTGAATTATCACTTTGATAATGATTTTATCGTTTCTGTTTTTTAGTCGTGGACTCGAGTGTACCACAGAATAATTTCAATATGGAGTTGACCCAGATCCACCTGTAACACATCTTTTCCCATCTGCTGATCTATTTTTTGTGTATCAAGCTGCACATTGCTGAGCCAAGCTTGGCTTTCCTTTCTTTTTCTCCAAAGAACTGAATTAGGGCCCATTGCAGCGAGAAGGCACAAGTGTTCTTAAATGGGATGCCTTTGTAGTTGGTGAAAGAAACAACTTGGTGCTAGGTGCCGTTTCCAAATCTGCCAGAGTGCTGCCTTTCAGCCCGAGACACTTTCCGTACTAAAATCCAGGACCACGAGATGGTGCTGCAGGAAAACGTTTTTCACTCAGTGGTTTTGGTTTCTGGAGAACTTCATTAGGTCTCTGCTTTTTACAGCGTGGTTCATCAAGTCACAAGAAGGCAGATAGCATACAATAGAGCAATGGTCATTCTGTTTAAAAAAAAAAAAATAAAAGACAACATAATACTGCATATAATGACAAGGCTTTAGCAGACTTACAAGAGATATAAACCATTGCCTGCGGCTCTAAATCTGCTTTCAATCCTAGTGAACCAGTACAGAATGAAACAAAAGACCTCTCAGTGGAACTTCTATCCTTATCTTCCCAAAGATTAAATAAATACAAAGCTTAACAACCCGACTCAGTGCACAGTAGCTGTGTCCAAGAGTGGATGCTGACACCATAGGGAAGGAGCTATGAGAAGTCCTCTGCTCTTTTCGTGCACCAGCCAGAGGCTGCACCAGATCTGCTGACAAAACTGTGGCACGATTCTGGTACTTCTCACTATCTGATTTTCAAAAATGTTTCAAAGCCATGAGAACTGAACTTGAAATACTATGGAGTGAAATTTGTTAACTGCAAAGCTCAAGAATAAAAAGCCAAATACAGTGCTGTATTTAAGCAAAACCTTTGTGGTTAGGCAAATTGTTTCATGTTTCTGAGGCCTGGGGTTCAATTCTGCGACCAATTTCACGTATCTGAGATTCTACAGTGCCAGGGAGTGTAGATGTAGCAGATGAATTATTTCATTGCTTATAATATTTTTTGCTTCTCTCCATGCAAAGAGTGTGATACTTAAATATTATGGGTCTTCTGATTCTTTGCTGACCTAGGCTTGGATTGCATACCAAAACTTAAGTGCAAAGGTCCTCCTGGAAAGTGTTTCATGTTCTCCTGTAAGGTCCAGGGGAGTGAGTGGCTCCACAGAACTCTGTTTTACTTCTGATCTTTCTACTCCCATTTTTCGTTTTCACAAAACACTGGAAAATTAAAAAATGGTTTCAGCCAGATCAAAGTGAAGAAATCCACACCTGTGATACTCTAGTCTAAGTTTCACCACCCTTCTTCCAAGTCCTTTCTCAAAAGGCATGGTTTCTAGTCAGTGCTTCCTTCCAGAAGCTGCTATCCTACGTATATCTTCTATCCAAGCTGCTAAATTTCTGAGCCTGTGTTCTATTCTGTGTAACAGGTTCACTCTGCAAAAGCTGTTTCTTTGCTGCATCAACCATCATCACTGTTCTGGCAGCTTTGCAAGTATGACAGTGTCAGCTGCAATATAGACAATGTGGGGAAGGTGATGGCAATTCTACAGAGAGCTGCCTTTCAAAATAGAATATGGCTATAAGTATTATAGCCATGCATCCTATCTTTCTGATTTTTCAAATATCTGATATTTGGCTCTTTAAAGATAGAACAGATCATTATTCTATGTAGGTTGCTCCAAAGGTAGTGTCTTCTATTTGTTTCCATAAGAACTACAGCAGACATAGAGCACACAAAACACTATTTGGTAGAGAAAATCCTCAGCTGCAAGACACTATATTTCACCAACAATGAACTGCATGCTGTGCTTATAGAAATCTTCACCAGTGGAAGTGCCCCATTGTTGTTGCCATTGCAGAAATGCACCACTTACCCCTCACTGTGCTCTCATTCACTGTTCACTTTCCATAAACATTCAGCAAGAAATAATGTCTATGGGTGCCATTTTTTCCTCATGGAGGAATTCATTTCCACTGCTTCTTACACACTTTTACAACAGGCACCTTTCTTTCACACTACCCCTCTGCTGCTATCTGTCACAAAGCAACAAAATGTAACCGAATAGTGGCAGGAAGGTTCAGCCCCTACTGCCATTCCACCAACATCTGCCTCTGATATTGTGGGCCAACATAATAAAATAAAGGCATTACTTCTGGAGCAGCCCTCGTCGCTAGTATGCACATTATCAGTTGGGCTGAAGTGAAACTATTAAAATAATTCTCCTTTAGAAAAGTTTTCTGGCTGTCATTTAGCACTGTCCTCTTGCTGAAGTTCTATTTGAGATACTCATAGACGCTCCAAGTTTTTACTATTTTCTTTTTTAAGGCACTTGATCTAAACATGTCATGGGGGAACCAAACCAAGCAAAAGAACAGATACCATCCTGTGCTTAGGCCTTATTACACAGCTAGGAAGGGAAGCTTTTACATACTTCTCCCATTAGGAGAGCCTGTCTCCTAAGCAGAGCACCAGGTAGAAAGCAGCATTACTGAAAGGCAGTGTCTTCAATCAAACATGGCCTTATGAACTGCAGTAACTAAGCATATTAAGGAATTGCAATTAATTATGTGATTCATCTTTTTGCATCTTTCTCAAGCAGTGACAGGAAAAATTTAATTCCCATTCCTAAGATTGAGTGCTCCATGCATTGTCAGCTGATATTTTGGATTTTCAAGTTGTATTTCACAGATGCCAAACTGATAGCTTTAGAGAATGACAGCTTAACTTCAAGAGAGGGACTCTCTTATCAAAGATGGGTCTGTATAAAGAACTGTCAAAAGCAAGGAACCTGAGAGCCTGGAAAAATGCTGTTATTGGGCTGGTGCTGACCGGTTATCTTGATGACACAGTCGGTGACAGATTTAGCTCATGAACAGTGGATAAGCATGGAAAATGACTGTTTTGGATCCTTCATTCACAACAGTCCTCAAATGCTGTAAAATCACTGTGGCTAGATTGTGAAACATCTGAGCTGGGGATACGTCAAATAAAGATCTGCAGTGCCTCTATAAAGGAAGAGAAGAAAGATCGTAGGGAAATAATTGTTAAAAATTATGTAGAACATTTTATCATAGTGCACCAGGATCTCATTCCTGTTTTTCTTTTAAAATCTATTATTGTTACTGTGGTCAAATATAAAAGTCCATCACATCGAATGCTGCAAACATTAATCATCTTTTTATCAATAGTTTCACTAAAAAAAAACCCAAAAACAGTGTAGCTGCAATTAATCATAACTCTTCAACACTACTAGCTAGGAAGAAAAAGGTTAACAGCACATTCTGTTATACTGGTTAAAGATGCTTCTACAGCGGCATTTGCTCAAATGGTTGTTTTACACATGTGGTGGCATCATCCAGTTTAATTCCTGCTGTGTTTCTTTGCCAACAACTGCTAGTGAACATTTGCCCACCTTCCCTGCTGCTGAGTAGTATCAGGATTAGATGCAGGGAGGCGAGCAGACTTACAACTTCATCTGTTGGCACCACAGGAATGCAGGAGCAGAACAGCATGGCAGTTGAGAAAACTTTCAAAATCATCAGTTTTAAGGTCTTGCCTTGAAATGACTATTTCCTGACAGGGGGGAAGGTTATCTTCCCCAAGCTGTGCCCTCCCACCCACTCAAAAAAAAGATGGGAGTGGGTGGGAGGGACTGGAGGAACAGTAACAATATCTTTCTCAAATGAAATCATAATGGACATTTATTCTTTGTCTGCTTTAGCTGGAAGGTACATCTGCAAAACTGCTGGGAAGTAGGTTTTTACATAGGAGTACCTGTCAGGAAAACACTGGTCCTAACTGGCTCTGCTGGCAATAAAAATTTTAGGGGCTTTAATACCTCTTAGACTTAGGATGGTGGCTAGCTCCCAGCAACAGGCATTTTCCTCCCCTTACC